ATAATATTAACAGAAATTTGCTCTTTTTAAAAAGAAAAAGAAAGAAAGAAAAAAGAAGACTTGCATAGAGTTAGAGTACTTTCAAAAAAATATTTATCTTTATTTGTATTTTTTTATTTTATCTATTTTTTTTAAAAAATATGTGGCTTTTAGAAGCAGTAAATAAAACATAGTTCACTATAGTGAAAGTATATACTGAATATCTGAATACAGTAGATAAGAAAAAGCACAATAAGTGACTTTTTAGTGTATGAAAATTGTTGTTTTTTTAACTTAATTTAATTGATTAAAATTCTTTATGCTCAGTGTTTGCTCTTCTTTTTTTTCTTTTCTTTTTTTTTTTTTTTTTCTTAAATGACATCAGAAACAGCAGTATGCGACATTACGTGATGGCAGAGCTTCAGTTCATCCTCTTCTTTGTGTGAATGTGTTGAATTGAAATAATGAACACAAGGTGAAACGGCTTAAGGCCTCTTAAACATTACACTATATTTAACCAGTTTATTATTATTTATTCTATTTAAACAAGTTAAACTGAAATAATTGCTGTAATCAGTTAATGTGGAGGCTACGATTCATAGTCTTAAACAGGTCACACCAAGGTTAACCACATTTTAATTGTAAAAAGAAAAATAACAATTCTGTGTGTGTGTGTGTGTGTGTGTAATGAAGGGAGATGTGTATATTTAGCCTCATTAAGACCAACAGGAAGCTCACAGTCCAAACAACATGACTCAGTAACATTAAGAGTTTGACTCTTCACAGATTTAATGTCTCATTTTAATGAAGCCCACAAGAAAAGTAAACTTTGGTAAGCAGACATGTTGAGTACAGTTTGTGACAGAAATGCCAAATGTTAAACTTTCTGCCATTAACGAGATCATAACACTTTGAGGGGATGATCAAAGAAAGTGCAACATCCAGGTCATCAAAGCTCTGGAAAACTAGTAGGGAGAAACATATTGCCAAAATGTGCTTGCGTCCATTAAAGATGTGCGTGCTAAGTATGTTCTCCTGAAGGTTTCAAAAACTATAGAGACATTAGGTAGATCGATTGATGAGCAGGGAACTTCCTACTCAAACTTCCTGGAAGATTGATTATTTATTTAAACAAGTGCGTTTCAAAGCTGACTAAATCCCCGTCTCAAACAGACGCGAATCTGCAATGAGCTGTCGAGGAAAGAGTGACTCCATTAAAAGCTCACAGCTCTGTTCAAAAAAACAATTTGAATGTCTGGCTCATTTTGGATTTTTTTTTTTAAGTGTTTTGTTTTACTTCCGTTTTACACGGCAGCCAAACTTTCCTGAGGGCTGGACTCACAAGCATGACCGAACACAACAAATCCCAGAAACACATACTGGACTCTTAACTGCTTAATGTGCTCGCACTCAAGCCAGCTAAAACTTGTCAACGTCAGCAGCTGATAATGTAATTTTTCGTGATAAGTGTAGTCAGGTGCACATCTTCCCCTGCTGTTAATTCAATAAAAAGGGCCTAAGTGTTTATCATTTTAACACATGTAAGCTAAAGGGAGGTGCATGTCCGCATATGGGAAATTTACTGTGTGGTATTTGCATTACATGATGGCCACTCCAAGCTGTTATGAGCCTGGACAGCTTACATTAGTCTGTGTGAATCACTTTAGGCCACATAAATGGCTGTAACATGCGTGCTTCTTTCTCTAATCCAAAGTGACTGAACAATATACTGGCCTTCTTCAGATTTATTAAAAAATGCATTATGAAGCAGCAGGTCTGTATGCATGGCCTGTCAACACTATAACAAAAAGAACAAAAAGAACCAAGTGTAACAGGAGGGCACAGGGGAAACCTCCTGTTGCCTTTATTATCCTTACTTTAAAAAAAAAAAGAGAAGAAGAGGATTTCAGAAAACACCTGCCTATGCTGGGTCATCAGTTTGTTCCTGATTTTTGTGTTTTTCTTTATATAAATTGATTGATATATGTTACAAAAGTCAGCAAGGAATCGGGTGTCCAGTGCTGGAAAGTTGAAAAAATACAAATTGTCAGCAAAAAAGGAAAAAAAATGTTGCATATTCACCTGAACACTCATGTCACTTTAAGCTATGGCCTCGTTTTTCATACAGAAGTTTCAGGTTAAAGTCATCCAGCTTCACTCTGTCATTCTGCAGTATTGTTTTCGTTGCAGTTCATTGTTTTCAGCAAGAGATAACATTTTGCAGCGACTCTCGGAGCGTGAACTAACTGGGATTTTAAAACCTGACATTTACAAAATAAGCATCGTGGGCACAGTTACTTGGTCACGTCCCGGGTCGCTCTCTATCAGAAACTGTTTCTGTGACATCTCTGCTTCATGTGAGGCAGTCACAGAGAGAAGTGACCCAAATGGACCAGAATACACTCACAGCTTTGAACTCCTGATGACTTGCGACCACTTCATGACACTTCCTGCCGCGCCACCACGTCACGATTTGGCCCCCGCGCCCTCCCCCCTCCGCTCAAGAGCGCCTGTCCCCTGTTCATACATCGCCCACTCAGCACAGATGGGATAACCACAGCATTTACCATTTCCCCGATTGCCTGTGGCAGAGGTGATTTAGAGCAGCTAATAAAAGCCACTCCACTCGTGCGTTAGTTAGCCGCCTCATTGAACTGAATGACACAGGACATGTTTGTTGGATTTCGCTAGGAAAAAAAGAAAATAAGTTTCTTTACTTTTATCAGTCTGTGGCTTACCACTTAGGTTTTCAGTACAAGATTACAATGAGCTTTCCTGAGTGCTGTGCAGACACTGATAAGTTGGCATGCTCCAAGAAGGCGCATCAGTTCTAGTCAAGCACAAGCAGGGCCACTTCCTCTCTTCCTAACTTATAGAAAATGACATGAAGAACACCCACCTCTCCAAGGAAAATTATTATTGACCATGATGAAACTTCACTTCCAAGTGCTATTCATTTAACATCATGCTTCATTAATAAATTAACCCACCAGTATCAGTGTTCATCAGGAGCATTACCAGCATGTTTCATACATATGAAAGATTCATGCTCTCATCAGATGCTCATGTTGCAAGCACTATGAAAAGCATGCACTGCTACAGCATGCAATGTTATTGAATGACTGCATAATATTAGCGTTTGTTTATTCCACACAAAAAAGAGCGGGAAAACAGCTGAATATTGAACAGCATATACACGAGAGTATATCCAGCAAACAGGTTTGTTACCAAAGGCAAAGCCATTAAATAAGCAAGCTGGGTGAAATAAGATAACGTTGTATAACAGATCATATCAAGTCTATCAAGTCAGCTAATATTAAGCCCTTTAGTTTTACAGCTAGCTGCTTAGAAGTGAGCTGAACCTACCTGAGGAGGTGACTAGAGCTTGTGACGCCTTAACTTCCATTGCATTTGCTCCCACCTTCAGTATAATTCCCCCATCAATAAGTTTCTGAATGATAACTTGCACAAACTGCAAACGCTGTGCAGCCTCATGGACCTGTCAGTCCCACAGTGCAGCACTTAAAGCTGTGAAATAGCCCAGACGCTGCAGCAGGGATGAATGGGTGGAGTTTGAGGTTTGGTCCGACAAAGAGGGGTACAACATTAAACTCTCAGACTATTGACTGTAGCATATTGAGTGCTTTATGGAACATTACTCATTTCACACACAAAGGTTTCTCGGGAGATTGTGTAAGCTAGAGTGTAAGTGTATTAAGAGAACATACTGTGAATCTATCCACCCCTTTAAAGGTAATTTTTTTTTTAAATAAAAACTTTTTAGCGTTTTATTGTGTTAAATTCATTTTTGCTTCAAAACAAGATTTATAGGGAATAATGAACCCTAAACATTTGTTTACTGTGCAGGTTATAGGGGGTGAATTCTGCTTGCAAGGTAGTTATGTGTACACCATGAGAGTCCTTGTGGGAATGAGAATAAAAGGATATAATATCCTGCTATTATAATATCTTATTACAGGGGAGTATATCCAGCAAAAACACTTGTTACCAGAGAGAATTACAATCTGTGATAAAAATTCTCAAAAGAGCAAAGATGATGTTAAATGCATAACTACCAGAGGGAAACAAGAGCTTGTAATACCTTTTTTGAGTGTAAGTCAGTAAACCTTTATCAGATTTCACTGGACTCCATGCGGATGCCCAGATGACAATTGGATTTCACAAGTTAGATAACTAATTTACATAATTTCCCCAGGGATTAATAAAGTATTCTGATTCTCATTCTGACTGACAATAACTACCAAAATAAGTGACCGAAGACATTTTAAAATTTCTGCTAAGTAACGAGGCTTGTTTGTAGATCTGAAAGAACTTTTGTCGTATATTTTGTTATTATTTTGATTATGCGCATCCACATTTACATCAGGCTGAAGTGGAAGATCAGCACAGATGCCATACACAAAAAGGGGATGAGCAAGATCTAATTTCCTGAGATTCTTCAAAGTGTGCAGCAAAATCATGGATATTTTCTGTCACTCAGCTGTGGTGAACACAGTGTACTTTGCGGTGGTCTGCTGGGGAGCTGGTCACACCAGCATACTACATAAACCGATTAGGAAGGTTGGGTCTATGACTGGCTGCAAACTGGACGCTTTTGTCGTGGTGGAGAATAGGTCTGTTATCCATCAGGGAAAATCCCAACTGCCCTCGGCACCCCTTACTGGACAAGCAGCAGAGCACCTTCTGTAACATATTCAACTCCACTCCCACCTGCTATCACTTGAATAAAACAGTTTATATATCTAGCAGAAATATACCTGCTAGTTAATATTAGTTATTAGGTTTATTATTATTATTATTATTATTATTATTATTATTATTATTATTATTATTATTATTACTATTGTCGTTGTAACAAAAGAATATAAAGTATTTCTCATTCGATTCGTTCCACGCTTCGCCACAAGGTGGTGCTGCTGACCTATCTACAAGCGAAGTATCCGCCCCTTGTCAGCTAGTTATGTTCAAAGTCCCGCTACACCTAATTGTTATTCAGAGAGTAAAAACTAAATAAGACTACAACTACTTACTGTACTGTCAACTGTTAAAAACAGTAGTAAATTTTTTGTGTTTTTCATGGTGGTATTGCAGTATGGTTACTCTTGTTTTTATTGGAGGCGAACAGTAAAAGAGTGTTTACTAACCTATCGCTAGTGAACATACTTTGGCTGACTCGTCAGCCAGTTGATCTCGGACCAAAACAAACTCAAAGGAGGAAAAAAAGCATTTGACTGAGGCGTCTGACTTCCACACTGCTGTTTTCCAAATGTCGCGGCGATTAAACAAGAGGTGCGAGGAGGAGTAATTTATCATGCGGCTTGGAGACGCAGCTGGGCTTGTAGTGGTAGCCGCTAGCTAGAATGCTAATGTTCCGTAGCTAACGGTAACGTTATGCCAGATGACCCAACAGCAGTAGTAGTAGTTGGGAATAGAAGCTGCTGCTGCTGCTGCTCCTATTTTATTTGCCTGAACTCTCACCCAGCATTATAAACGGGCCTGCCATCTAGTTAGTTTTGTAGTTAGGCACCACGAAAACAGAGAAAACTAATTTTCAGCGTTGCCTTTTACTGCCTAAATTAAAAACTGAAGTATGGGGATGTGCTTACCGTGCCTTGGTGGAGCAGCGGACGACGTTGTGGTCACTCCAGATCCTGTAAGTTAAGTTACTATGATTGTTATTACACAGCTTTAACAATAATTCGGTCAGCTGTATACTAGTAATGAATACGAATTGATATAGGAATTAGCTGAGCCCACGTGAATTTGATTAATCACCATTAGGACACCAATGGGCCCTGGTAGGTAACGCAGAAGAGGCGTTGACTGTATGTGAACAGCGGCATGTTAATAAGTATGCTTCAGGCCCAACATGCTTAGCTCAGAGAGGACAGCTTTAGCTCACGAGTTTCCCATGTTTCCAACAGGAGACCCGGAGACAACAGTTAGCTGAAGCCGCCGAAAAGAGACAAAAAGAGGTAAGTTACGACGAGTCGCATCTTATTGTCCATTTTTCAAGTACTAAAACATTGTTACACGTGTGTAGTACATTTACCAGGTTATTGGGTGCAGCTCGCTATAGCAGAGGTGTGTTATTCAGTACAAGTACAAACATGAACTCTGCCATCACTCATTGAAATCAGCAGTGAAGTTGAATTGTGTTGTTTTTTGTTTTAGCTTTTTTATAACATCACTAGAAGTGCATTTTTGGTAGTAGAATTAAAATATGAATAAAAGTCACCATCCTTAAAGTGAGCTCTGTAAAAAAACAAACAAACAAAAGTTTCACCAAAAACTGAACTTCACAAAATGTATTATTTATTTATGTATTGGACTGTGTCTTTGGCGCCACATACGTACCCAGTAATCTGGTAACTGAGTGCAGTATTAAAGGTGGAGTTAGTTTACAGTGTGGTGAGTATTTTTTATCGCACAGAAAACCCACTTGAAAAAGAGACGCACTAGAGTTCTCTCAAGGTAAGTAGACCTGGACCAGGGTCAAAACTCTACCTGGCCAGGTGAGTCTTCTGGATTGGCTTAACTACCACAACCTTGTGCTCCCAGTCACCGTTTTCATCCTTAAATCTTCCAACACCATGACAGTTCACACTCTGATGCAGGTCAAAGCACTGGTCTCTAACAACCCACAGTCGTCTCAGTTGAGCAGCACAGCACTGCTGAAAGTAGCTGCTTCAACCTCCAGCTGAACTGCCTTATTTGGCAGTTGAATGCCCCCTCGCTGGTTGTGGTTGAACAAGCCTTGTGTGCACCTGAAAGGTTGTGGTAAAATAATTTATTAAAACCCACATGCATGCTTTTGAGACTGTTTGTATATGCTGAAAATATAGACAAAACAAAACACTTATTATCAAGCTGTTGCATCTTGGCACTTGATTATACCCCACACTTTTTTCCAGACGGCGTACAGGGGTGTTAAAAATCCAGAAGCAGTCGAAAGGAAAAGGAAAAAACAGGAAGAAGCTGAGAAACAAGCGATGAGCACCTCTGTGTCAGGTGGTGGTGGTGGGCTGAAGGTCAGTTGTGTGTTTATCCTCAAACTTAGTGGGTTAAAAACAGAAGTATCTGTTGTAGATAGTGGCAGTGGTGGGCCATAAACCCATGACTCAGAGGGAATCAAAGTGATCAAAAAACGCTTTGGTTATACTGAGAGACACAGGATTGCACATGCTCGATACCTCTCCTTGACCCATCTCCTCAGTAAAGATATTTCAACAAAATGAGACATCCTGCCTTCAGAGCCTCATTTAAAAGTTTGTCTTGAGTGCATCATAAATCTTATAGATGAGCTATACCTGTATTTTATCATCTCAGGTGTAAAAGTCCTTATGGCATGTCTTATTTTTAGGGCTACATTAAATTGAATTCATTAACTCATTAAAAAAGTTTTTTTTGCATCTTTAATAATTGAAACATCATATGATTTAAAAAAGAACAAGTTGCCCTTTTTAATCAACACTGAGATATGAAAACACAAGGCTAGAAAAGCTACGAACACAAAGTGGCACAACCAAGCCAACATAACAACAGGACCAACACACTATCAAACACAGTTCTGAATTATGTATTGGCATATATTTTTGTTTTTTAGACTGTGTGCTTATACACTTTATCTTCAAGTAACATCATAAAAAATATTCACACATGGTGCCCAACTTCAATAAGGGGTAAAAAGGAATGGGACACTAGGCTGCAGAATGTTTTTATTTATTTTTATTGTTTTAACGTAAATTCATGCACAAAATGTCTGAAACACAGCAGAGAGTTATTTGTAATTTGAAATATGAACTTTGGGTTGACATGGAGTTTATGTCAATCCAAACCACAGCAGTGAAGAAGATAACAGGGGTGTTTATGTTCCGGCCTGTCTGCAGAAACATTCAGCACCAGCATAGTTTCCATTGTTTTACTTCAAGTAATAAAGCAGAAACGCAAAACCTGAACACAGCTGCACAGCATGTAGTTACTAGGGGTGCAACGATAAACAAAATTCACGGTTCGGTTCGGTTCGATACTTTGGTGTCACGGTTCGATATTTTTTCGATACAAAAAAAATGTTCATGCCTTTTTAATTTGTCATTTATTAAAATTATAAATATATATTTTAACTCAAAAGTACAGTTTTTAAATTTAATGTTGCTGAAACAACAAAGTAATAAAAAAAAAATATCTGATTGAGGAATCACTCATCTTTGGAAAAGAGAGTTTATTACAGAGAAATGGCTCTTTCCACAATAAAAGCTATACTATACGCTTCTTCTGGGCTATATTCTCAGCAGCATATTAAACATATCAGGTCCCCATAAGGAGAATCATGTGCTAACGGCTGTCTAAATGACTCGGGTAAAGTTTGTAGCATGCATGCTTGTTGTTTTTGTCTGCTTCCACTTGTCTTTGCACTAGGATGCTGTCGGAGTAAATGTGCAGTCATATTCGTTGTGTTCCCACTAGTGCTGTCAGCGTTAATCTCGTTGAAATGACGTTAAAGCCACAACACGGCAAATCTCCGTTAACGAGCCCCTGCATGGGGCTGGACGGCGTCAACACGTTAACGAGCTAACTGCGCTAACACACTAGTTCCCACCAATGTAATTGAGCATTGCGTGGTACATCCAACATACTGTTTTACTTTTGTCCATGACGCGCTTACCTTCAGAGTCATAGTCACATGAAAACCAAAATAGTTCCAAACGCCAGATCTGAATGAGGGTGGCGGAGGTTCAATTTGCCATGTTGCAAGGAGAGCTTAACTTCTGTCTCGCTAGCTTGCCCTGCACTCAGTGAATCTGCATTCGACTACTCCGCCTAGGCTGCACTGTCGAGCGCAGATCCACTGAGCGCTCAACACAGACAGCATTGTCAGAAGGAAAGTTGATAAAATAAATTAAAAATTTTGTATTGTTCGATACATATGCGTACCGAACCGAAAGCACTGTATCGAACGGTTCAATATCGATACGAGTATCATTGCACCCCTAGTAGTTACCCATAAGATGGGTTAGAAATCATTAAACACCACTTCGAGCATGTCTGTGTTTGTGTTCTTTTTTCTGGCCTGAACTTTACCAGTCAGCTTTTTAAAAAAAATTAAACTAGAAAAATCTTTGACATTTGCAAAAGAACTTTTATAATAGTTTTGAAGCTAATTAAAATGTGACTGTATTTTGAAGTGATTGGTTATTCTAGAGGATAATTTCATATCACAATGGCAATGATTGCTATTTATCATTGTGAATGATAAACATTGTTGTAATTTGTTGTGTTGTGTTTTTCTTTTTTCCTGTAGTGGCAGGTGGGCTGAAAATCCTGATGGTAAAGTCTGAACTCGGATGTCTAAATATATAACGTATTGCTGCAAGATGACTTGAAAGATGTTGGAACTGCTGTCCGTTTTTACTTTTTCTTTCGTTTTCTTTCGTTTTCTTTTCTTTGCTTGTTATGTATCTGTGTCATGTTATGCGTCTACAGCTGTCAGGTGCAAAACAGTTAAGTTATTCCACACAAAACACAGCAGAATTTGCCAAGTTATACAAATCAGTTTGTACCTTTGGTCGAGTCAGGGGTGACACAGTAATGTGCAAGCAAACACAATTATGTGAGATTTGTGTGAAGATTGATTAGATACAGTGTTGCAGTACAGTGACTCCCATTAGGTAACATGGAAGAACATCGCTATAATATGCAGTTGTACATTAATACAGAGCTTCCCTCACTGTGTTTGGTTTTCCTAGTCAGAGTATTCTACATATATCCATTAACAGTTGGATATACCTTTTTAGCATGAACTCACTTTGTGATGGGCTCTGTTATTTGGCAACTCAAAGACTAGTGCAAACAGTGCAAACTTGACTATCTTTACCCAACTCATAATGGGCTCCTTGCTCATCACCGAGGCGAGTCAGTGACACAGACCACATTGGGGTCATTATTTTGTGTGTTTGTATTGGGGGGAAAAATGGGTGTTTTGTGCTGAGAATGTAGGTGGACTCTATGTGGCGCATCTAATGCGGCGATTCCTTGGTAAGCACAAACTTTATACTTGACAAAAACTGCAGCAGCTAATAAATACTGCTGAATAATGTAGAGCACAGGTGTCGAACTCCAGGCATCAAGGGCCGGTGTCCTGCAGGTTTTAGATGTGTCCTTGATCCAACACAGCTGATTTAAATGGCTAAATGACCTCCTCAACATGTCTTGAAGTTCTCCAGAGGCCTGGTAATGAACTAATCATTTGATTCAGGTGTGTTGACCCAGGGTGAGATCCAAAACCTGCAGGACACCGGCCCTCGAGGCCTGGAGTTCGACACCCCTGATGTAGAGCAACTGTAGAGCACTCTCCAGCCAATAAGAATGCCCTAGTTCTTCGCACTAGTCTTTGCCCTACTTTAATAGAGCCCTTTTTTTAATTACTTTGTTTATCATGCACAGTTTTTGAGTTTGTTGCATTGAATTGTAGTGTATGCAAACACGGATGGAATGGCTGCTTAATCTAAATGAGAAATGTTTGTGAATTGCCATACTACAACTGAAGCTTTTGTTACACACTTATTTGCACACCATCAGCCAATATGCTCACTTTCGTTCGAAGGTTCAAGTCCACTACAATGGAAACGAGACTGAAGGAATATGAAGGAGAAAACAGATGTTTTGAGATATTTTCTTTGACTTACTTGGCTGAGTGCGTTTCTTACAGCCTTCCTTAAATGCTTCTGGTGCTCTTGTCATTTTGTAGAAGAAATCTAGCCAATGTTATTTGCTACAATAAATCACATTTCTGCTACCCTTGTGTCAATTTCATGCGTAGAATCACAGTTTTAGAGGTAATACTTAGTGGTAGAGTTTCACTGTTAATATAGTTGACAAAAATATAAGCAAATATTAATATTTACAGTTTCTGACGTGTCTAGAGTCGTTCAGGTGTAGCCAGAGATGTGCAAAGTCTTGAGCCACCCCCAATTTCTTTATATTTAAGGATTTTGTTTAATGTTGTCTGTGCCTCTTTTTTTAAATGTATCTTTGCTTGTGTTGCTAAATAGACTGATAGTAGCTTCTACTTTGTCACAGGAATGTTGTTTGTGGCTCAAAATGACTTGATATCATTCATGAGGGATGCATTTGACATCGTTTGACATATTATTGGCCAACAAATCATTTACAGCTGTTTAAATACGGATAATCACTTTTTGGCAAATACCGGAAATCTCTTTTGGTCAGATGATTACTTTTTGACACACCACGGGTGTCTAATATCCTTTTGATAAATAGTCTGCAGACAGCAGGATTAAAACTGGTTATACAAATAAAGAAATAACCTGTTTTCTAAGTGTAATTACGACTATCTTCTACTTTGTAATCAATCCGGGTCCGTTTGGACGCTTAAAAATATATAACTTGTGTTATAGATGTGAAGTTTACCCTGCACTCCTGGTCTGATCGCTGTTGAAAAAGACTTTTTAAATGATTTTTTTTAAACAGATGATCACGTTTTGCCACAACACCGGCTCACGTGGCTTCGAATATCAAATACATCATCTACCCGAACCGCACGCGCTTCACAATCTCGCTGCCTTAAGGCGTAACTAATGACGTAGACTGACGCAGAAGTATTGTTCCGGTGTGTTCGTTAGCTCATCCACACACATGGAAGCGCTAACTGGCAGCGTCCCTTCGATAGCTCAGTTGGTAGAGCGGAGGACTGTAGACGTCACAGCTGAAATCCTTAGGTCGCTGGTTCAAATCCGGCTCGAAGGAGACATATTTTCACAATTTTCTTTTCGTCTAACTACAGTAAAATATCCTGAACGTTACAGGTCAGTGTCGTACTGAAACATTAGCTCTGTCTCCCAGAGTATACTGAAATAAGTATGTTCAGACATAAGCAAAGTCGTCTGCCCTGCCCATTCACAAACCAACATCATCGTTGCTGTGTTTTTATTATGAATATTATCCTGGACTCTTCTTCAGCTTCTGTGCAGACCTCATTATAACATATGTGCAAACAGCAACGTGTTTCTGTATCTCTCCAGACTTAACAGTAACACTTCATTTTTTAAAAAAAAAAGGCATGCCCTTCAGCAACCTTATTAACGCCAGATTTTAATGCAGTATTAACCGGAGATGAATTACTGAGGGGACTGAAAATCACACAGTGTTCTTGGCTGACACTCACAAACTGCCTGTAACATCAGTTCTAGTTCCTACCGGACACGATGTCCACAAAATAAAAGAAACAGTATTAATGAACAAAACCAAAACCTCGTCTCATTAAAAACAGCATGAACTCTGTTTTTACCTGATGGACTCTATTTCCACTTATTTATGCACATTTCACCGAATCTGTGCACATGACGGGCGGCTCGGGTCTTTTGGACGTAACTGTAGGAGATGTCGATAATAATAATTCTTCGATTTAACATATGGACAACACTATCTCTAGATCCAGACCACACCCAACTGGTATAAACTTTACAAAAAGCATCTCTAGACCAGCTCTTACTAATTAACAATCTCAACTCATATCAAAATAAGTTTCACTTGAAAATGTACACAGCAAATCCAGCATGTCCAAATTAACACTGTCGGATTTGATTTCAACACTATTAAAGTGTCTATATGGGTCCACACCAGAGAGTGTTAATTTAACTCTTTTTGGAGAGTTGGTACGTTAACTCTGATTTAGTGTTAAACACCAAATCTGTCTGGAGTTGATAATTTAACACTTGGTGTTAAGAGTTTATATATTAACTCTCAAAGAGTATTTTAGTTTAACTACGTAAGAGTTATCTTCTAATTCATTCTAAAAAGCGGGAATTTTACTGTTCTGAACTTCTAGAAATTTCTTTTGGAAATAAACATTTACTAAAAAGATGCAATGGTTTTTGAAAAACATTTATTCTGAACTGTGCACCACAATTTCAAAACATTTTCTGAAAGATGTAACAGTATACATGTTCTCACTTTCATTAGAATTTTGTTTATCAAAAGGTCTGACATGGTAAATGCAAATAACAGCATTCTCATCACTTATTTCTTCAATACAATATGCATGTCCTTCATTCATCCCTTTGTGGAACTTCAACGCACTTCTGCTCTCCCCCATATTCCATCTTCACAAGCATATCCTGTGCGGAGATTGAATAAAAATTAGTTGACACTAATTAATGGCACAAATAATCCAGTAAACAATTGCAGCACAGTAAAAAAAAAAGGAATCCTCTTTGAGCCATTACTTGTGTAAAGTATTTTCCCAAAAGACAAGGACACAGGCAACAGGTAATACTGAACTAAATGTAAAACCTCAACCTTTTTCATTTTTACCTAAACCGTGTGCACAAAACTCTGGAGGGATCTATGCTAACGTAGAATCCAGTCAGGACGTCTGCTACTGCTGTTTGCTCGTTTTTTTTTTATGGGCGATCGTTTTCAGGCTTCAAGTAGCACCATTATACCAACATTTCACATTCTAACATTGTTTTAGGTGTATTTGACCAAGATTTGACTGAAAATTCACATGCAAGCTTTTTTCAAGGCTGTGGTATTTGCCCGCAAACAATACCTTTCAGCTAGCTAAAACAGAATATTATGCTATCACGAGCAACATGGCTAATGCCTTTCACACAGCTTTGTCTCAACTCCAAAGAGCCACAGAAGTAAAAGCTATAATAATAATGTGAAACAATCTTTGAAAAAATGACTTACCAAGCATGGCAAACAACTCAAATATGTAGAGCAAAATGTTCTGAAACGGCTTCACTTCAGCTTCGATTGGAGCCGTGCTGGGGGCGGAGTCTGTGAATTTACTCTGTTGGTGTCATAGCCCCTGTAGGAGTTCAGAGTTAAGAGGTCAAGAGTTAATGTTTCCATTGTAACACCTCCAGATTTGACAGAGAAACACTCATTTTTAACACTCGATTTTAACTACTATCATTTTACACCTCAGAGTTACATTAAAAGAATGTGACTCTGCTTAGAGTAAAATTAACTCTACTTTTGCAAGAAGACTATTAACACCAAAACATTTAACACTTTTGAATTTGCTGTGTACAACTAAAATCAGGCTTGAAAGTTGCTTTCCACAACCAGTGAATATAATACCAAACCGACATATTTATTCTCCAGGAATAAAAACAAATTAATATAACATGAGTTATTATGCAGTGATTGATATTTCTCCATTGTAAGAACCCCCCAAAAGTAATCAATAATAATCGTATTTAAATCACTGCACCACCTGTAGGGGTCAGTAATACGACACAGTGAAGAACGTGAGACCTTAAATGAGTAAATCTATTTATAAATCACAAGCTAGTGAAACTGATTCGAACATATGATTGTCGGATGAAGACATTATTACACACAGGATCTATTCTAGTAATGCATAATACAATCAAAATGCTAATATATAAATGTACTGCATAGAACAGTTATGCAAAATGTAAACAATATGAGCATTGCTTTATTTTTTTAGCCTACTAAGAAATGCACAAAGAAAAAGCTATAACATTTTGTGAATAAATTTAGGTTTTATGAGAGTTTTTACAAGAATTTAAATGTATAAAGTAAAGCATTTAAACTTCATTGGGTTTAAATAATTCTTCTAATGTGGGAGATAAAATCCCATTTGAGCCACAGCCCGATAGGGTCTGTGTATTATTAAAAAATTAGATAAGAAGATCAGTTTGATGGGAAATGAAAAAAAGTGGGAAAACAACACTAGCACAGAAAAATCAATAGAATCCACATCAAGGTACCAAGCAATACTGGCTTCATAAAATTGCCGACATCTCCAGCACCCATTTCATTTCATGTAAAAAAAAAACAACTTGTGTTTTTACCTTGTACAAATACAGATATTTATATGAGGAGCTAAAAGATGAAAGTGTTCTACCTACCATATGTGATATTGCTTCAGATGCAATAAAAACAGGAAAATCTTAAATCTCAAGAAAATCTACACCTTCCCTTGCACTAATTATGAAACCAATTATACTGTGACGATAATAATGAGCATGTTTTTCAAAGCTGTTATGTAAAAGTAAATAACACCCAGAGGCCTACTAACATGTGTCCAGGCCCAATCAAATGAAAACACCCAAGAATGACCTTTAACCAACAAAACAAAATCATCACTATGAGAAAAATGTGCTTTCTGTGAATGGTGTTGCACTACAGCTTTAATATTTACTTCATGAGAACAGGGATATGTTGCATAGCTACGCCCCCTTCTCTACACAGTAAAAAACAGCACGAAGTCAATCTGTCCTTTTATTAATGGATTTTTTTTCAGTCTCGTGTCTTCACTTTTTGCTGCGGTAGTGCGCTGCCACCACCAGGTAGCTGTCAGGGCTGAGGTCCTTGATATTAGGGGACTTGCTGCTTATAGGGGATATCTTGCCCTCCACCCTGGAAATCTGGAGCATGCGGCATGGGTCATGTTTCAGCAGGTAGCTCTCAAAGGTCTCCCAGCCTCCACCGACTCGCACCATCACGTGCTTATTGTGCAGCATCTGCGGAAGAAAATAGGATTATGTTGTGATGCTGGTGTGTCAAAAGGGGTGCTTTAATAGATGTGGGTGAACCCTTCTATAGGACTAATGTCATTACCCTGATTGAAGCTTTGGGTTTTAGCTGAACGAACATGTAAGCGCGGCTTTGATGTCAAAGCTTGTTGATTGATGTGGGTGTCCCAGAAGTGGTTGGTATCCCTGGAGGGATTCTTTATCAACCCTGCTGCCCTAACGTCTAGGTGAATTGATTACTAAGAAACTCTTATTTCTTAACTCTAACAGTGATGAGACTGTGTGCAGATGCAGCACTGCTTTGACCTTACGCTCATATAAAAATAAAAGTAGCCCTAAACACAAATGCTTCTGTTAGTAGCAGGCATTTGATGATAAACTAGGCCCATTAAAATTTCCAGTTTTTGATGATGATGATGATGGTGCTACAGGAAACATCAAAGGATTAGGTTATTAAAATTCCTTCTGAGTGGGACCTTATGGTCGGTATGAGAAATTATTAATTAATGAGACATTCCCTCAAAATATCAAATGCTATTTAGTGATGTAGTCAGGGGAACACTAAAGTCTGAGGATTATCTACTGGGTCATATATATTGTCATGCAAAAAATGCAATGACAAATAGCTGTTGGTGGTAGAATAAAAGTCAAGAGAGCACTGATGTTTGTCAAGTGGGAATTTTTGTTTGTTCTGTTACTGTACCTTCTGCTAATTGTGCACTAATTAAGATGTGTCGGTGTGTTGTCCCCCTAGAGTATATGTAACAAGCAAACCAAGCTTGCCAGCATTAGCTAATAGACAAGGTCTTCCAGTTCTAACTTCTATGGTTATTGGGGAGTTTGTTGAATTTGAATGGGTGCTTAATACTGGCTCCAAAACAAGTTAGTGTTCTTTGACACCCATGTTACAATTTACAACTTCAGAGCAGAAGCAGACACTTTTACAGGCTGTTTTTTTTTTTTTAGCTAATTACCCACTTAATGATTGTACAGCAGGCTTGAGGTGCAGCAACTTTATTAACATCCAAGAGGTTTGTGCTTCAGTTTTGGTGAGTGGTGTTCTATTGTTTTATTACTGTTACTTTCCCAATTACACCACCCATAAAGTCTACAGGTTAATCAATAAGTGATAGCTTAGCCCAGTAGTTCTCAAACTGCGGGGTAGGCCCCACTGGTGTCCAGGTGGGACATAGATAATCAGGCAATAAATATGAATGGAAGTTAAGTTGAAGCATGTCTGTAAATATAATCAACCTGCCAAGGAATGCTGAGGAAAATTAGCCTATGTGGCTAAATCTGACACATTTACATCACTGACTCTAAACAAACATCAGCATTACCAAAAATTTACAGATGTTCACTTTTATATGGTAAATGGACTGGTTCTTATATAGCCCTTTTCTACTCTACTGGAGCACTCACGGCACTTTATTTAACATGTTTCCTACACATACACATCCGTGCAAGCACATTTTTCTACGTCTAAATGCTTTCTATTTACCACACTGTGATGAACACATTTGGACCAACTGTGTGTTCAGCATGTTGCCCAAAGATAGTTTGGTATGCAGGCTGTAGCAGCCAGAGAAGCACCAATCTTTCAATAGCTGCCCGCTCTAACTCCTTAACCACAGCCACCCCCAATTTCATCATACAATTTTGTTGACTGATAATTCATACACATGAATTTGCATACAATCTGCAGTGTTAATGGGATATCTTCTGGTAACACTGAACATTTTATGGGTCTGAGTTGACAAGCTGGAAGATCAACTTCCCAACCTACTAGGATAGCTAATAAATATTCAGGTGATTTCATCACTAAAAAGCATAAAACCTTAAATTATATGTCTGGTTAAACAGACATATGCAGTGTTTTTTGGTTTTTTTTCCTATCCCTTTTCTACAACATTTGCTTGAAAACGATGCCACCTGCCACATCAGGGCACATTCCCAAGGTTGGCTACCATGGCAACGTCACCGGTTATAATAAAGAGACGAAATAAAAGGCGCTGGTATATTCGATGATCAGAAGCCTGCATTCCCCAGAGGCTGCGCACATAAAACATGTCTGCCTTGCTATGGAGGCTTTTTGCCCCTCTACCTCATTAACACACCATTACACCTCTGAGGAAACAAGCTTGTTTGCTGAATGGCCCTATCTGAAGAAGAGTAAATCCAAAACAAGTTATTATAAAGATTATTTACTCAACTCAAAAATGATTCAGACAAATAGGAAAACAATACATAGTTAAAAAGGGCAAATTACATCATGCAATTGTCACCTCAGTTTGGCCAGATATGACGCTTCTTGCCCTCCAGCAGCATAACATACAACATTTATAGGCCTCTTAAATGAATCAATCGTGAGGGCAGGAGCAGGGCAGTAGATCCAATCATCAGCACCAGGCCTCAGGCTTTGTGATTGTGGATTTAATGGACCTGTGTGATGCAGAGGGGTTTTCAATCACGCTGCTTTGGGACGAGACCCTTGCTGGACTCCAAACCCTTCTCAGTAGGCCAGAGAAGGGCAGAGGCCCGGGGCTGAGCTGGGACAGCAGTTCTCACAAAACCACTCTGGTGTTTTTCTGCTCTCTCATTCAAGCTACAACTAGCTCATTTATTCCAGCAGAAGGTCAGCCTCTCCAGTGGCCCAGATTATTGTGAAGTGAGATCTGCTGCACGTCACTGCTGTCCTTGCTCCCAGCTGCCTACAGACAGTGACTGGGCTTACTGTATTCATGCCTTTTCAGTCGACCCAGCTGCTGGGGGGGGAAAGCCATGTGAGGAATTTTAATTAAAGCATGTTCAGCATGAAGAGTGCTGGCTGGGAGACAGAGGAACAGAGGCTTAACACTTGCTTTGTTTGTCATCCTAAGCAGTATCGCACATACTGAAGATGTGACTAGTATCCACGATGACACATGGTAACGGATGTCTAATAATGTTGTTATAATTTAGCTATTTTTCAGTATGGCTGCCCATTTATATACTATACGGTATATATTCATCCTCTGCTGCTTGTCCTGAAGCTTTTTTCCCCATTTTTGTTTAAGACTTTTTTGGTTTGTTTTTTAAAAACCAACTACTAACTATTAGTAGCTGCAATACAATGGACAAACAGCAGAGGACATCCAAGAGTAAACTCCCTTTTGCTAATCTACACATACCGCCAGCATGAATCACATCTTTGGAGGTGTAAATCCCGGTTGTGGGTTGCCAAGTAACCAGGATCCCAAGGGGAGAGATGCTACTTCTCCGATCTGTTATTCTCCATTTATCTTTCACGAATCGCCTTTATCTCTCCACTCAGAGAAAGCTGAGTAACATTTCCTGAGCTTAAAGACTGATTGTGTGTGATTATGTTAGTACAACAGCCAGTTCTGGGTCAGACGTATTCCAAGTGGTAAGTTGGTTGTGAGATCAGAGGTGAATGTGTGGATGTTGCTTTCTCTTTACAGCAAATGAAAGTAAACATTGTCAAGGCAAAGGCCATTTGTAGACACAATGGATGACATTCATGCCAAAACCAGCCCCACATATCTGCTATACGACTGGAAAAAGAGTTTGCTTTGCAATGTGAGACGTTATTGTTACAAACCGCAAACTGGAATGAAAATAAAATGAATGGAATAATTAAAAAATAAGAAAACGGTTACTGTCATTTTCCACTGCTAGAAATAGACTATTTCCCCTTTTTGCCAGTTTGTAAAAGAAGGTTACAATGTAATGTATGATTTACTTTATTTGAACAATGATTTCATAGAGTCATTATTGTATAATGTGTAATATTTGCCTCTGAAGCTTCAGTGCTGGGACTAATGTCTTCATTATTATTTGGACTGAGACTTTATAGTAGTGCATAACAGTGTAATAATAGCAAACTGAATGTAAAACATTCAGAACAGTGACCTGAAAACTAAGCTTAAGGATAAGCTCACCAGTAAAGAACTATGTCCGTTGGGGCCTTCCCAACAATAGACTTTTTCCACTGAACAGTTTTATGCTAATATCCAAAACCTGATAATTTGATAACCTCATATGAAAGTGATACAAGTGAAAAAAAGATTATGTTAATTATTAGATACAGTACTGTGCAAAAATCTTGAGCCATCACTCATTTCCTTATATTTTGCAAGGAAAATAGGAAACATTGAAAATAGAATATATAATCCAAAAACAGAGTTTGTACAAGTCTAACATGATTGAAGGTCAGTATTTGGTATGACTACGTTTATACTACAACACAGCCTAAACTCTCTTAGGGAAGCTTTTTATAAATTTATTTAAGCAGTCTTCTTGAAGGACATCCAAAGATTTTATCTGGATATTGGCCACCGTTTCTCTGTCAAGATGATCCCAAGCTGCCTGAATAACGTTGAGGCCGAGCTCTGGCAAGGCCAATCCTTGACTGATTGCATCCTTTTACTGCACTGACAGTGTATTTGGGATCATTGTTATGCTGAAAAATGAAACTGAAACTGTCAGTCAAATGCTTTCCAGGTGGTATTGCATGGTAGATCAAAATCTGACAGTACCTTTTTGTGTTCATAATTCCATCCACTTTAACAAGATCCCCAACACCACTGGCTGAAATGCACCCCCGAGCAATCACTGTGTTTTTAAGATTGCTGTAGTTGTATCTCTCTTGTGACCTGCCCCATACATATTGATGATTTTGATTTTCAGTTCAGTTTTGTGGCATACCACAGCCATTTTTCCCTGATTCCCTTCCACTGTATCTCATTGTACAACTGTATAGTGACAATAAAGGCATTCTTAAGAATCAGCCACCCTTCCGCTGAGAGTATCTCTGATGCGGCTGCAGTGAATAGTGGATGAATCAGCTCAGGTCCTGCCTCAGGTCTTTGGTGGATTTTTTCCCCCCCCATTTCTTAAGGACGAGACTTTCAGAACCTGTTCATATGCTGTAGATATTTTCTTAGGCCTGCAACTTCATTTCTCCTCTATTTGTCCATTTTCCTCAAAATTTTTAAGGACATATTGCACACCACATGTCAAGTGTTTGGCTAATAGCTCTTTGGGAATCACTTTGTTGTTGCAAAAATACTATTTTATTCATGTAAAATGGTGACATTTTCCTGGATGCAACGAAAGAAATGGGGACAAATTATGTTTTTGTGACAGACTGTTAATAACAAGGTGCCTAAAGATAGACGATTTGCTAAGGTCTCTGTCGCGTGCAGACGCAAGACTGGGCCATCTTTTGAGTTATGTGCGTTTTTTATGCTTCAATGAGTCATAGGTTAGTGTTAAGTGGCATAACAAACCAAAAAAACATTCTCCTGAAACTGGTCGGGTACAAGGACTGGACTCAAAATGAGGGAAAAAAACAGCCAATATCCAAAGAAAAACTTGGAAAGACTTGCAAAAAGCCTGGAGAAGTATTCCTCAAGACTGCTTTTAAAAAATCCAAGAAAGTCTGGCTCCTTGGAAGCAAAATACAAAGAAACGAGGACTTTTGTACAATACTGTAACACACTCACCCGAATAAAGAGCATCTTCTCCCCAACACGATATCGACCCTGCGACTGTCTCTCTACACAGAACTTATTTGCACATCTGCAAGGTGGATCATTGGCGATATGTCTTACCTGTTTTGACAAAAACAAACATTGATGTTTTTCCTCTGATAAGTTAAGTAGAAACAGCAAACAGAGGTGAACACTTGCTAACTTACGGCATCATCCAAAAGCTTCCCTGTGCTTTTTTTGATAGAAGTCACTTTGGTAGGAGTTGGGGATGGGGAAGGGGATGGGGAAGGAGATGAAGAGGGTGATGGAGGGACAGGCTGAGCTGGAGATACAGGTGACGGAGGAGGTAGAGGCGCTTTCTCTTCTTGCTCAATCTCTTTCTCCAGTTTTATAAGGCCAGGAGGCTCCACATTGTACCTAGATGAGGAATAAAAGAGACATGGAAATTATGAAAGGATTTGCAAAACAATCCAAAGACATACACAGGAAAATCTAGACAATCAAGGAGGAAAATGTAAAAACCAAGAGCATACCGTGATGCTATCCGGCCCAGCTCTAAAAGACAAAGGCAGACTTCTCGTGGCTGCTTATGAAGAACTGCAAAAAGAGATCACCTTTTAGGATTTGGTGATTAAAATACTGTACTGTATCTGGATGAAGGTGATGAATGAGAATGAGTGGCTGTGTGATGGTGAAATGGACATAAAAACAAGCTTATGAACTTCATGCAATCACATGGTCCTCTCTAATCCTGTTCATCCCAAACCAAATGGAAAGAATACTGCTCACATGTTCATTTTAACCACTTCAGAGGGTAACGGTAACCACGGCAAATAATAGATCAAACCAGACTGTGGACACACAAAGCATGAATAATGTGACACACCACACCATGCAATATAGAAAGAATATATCCACTGCGTGATAGCAAACCTGATGTTGTTACACCTACTGCTGAACTGACAAATCCATCCAGAGAAAGTAAGAGGGAAGGAAAGAAAGAAAAAAAAGACATTCGTCAGCTGGATTGTTCACTGAAGCATTTTATTACAATCACATGTCCACTGGATTCGAAGGCGATTATAGTTCACTGCAGCTAGCTCACTGCGTGTGTGTATATCCTGGAATCCAGAAATGATTTACATAGCTTGAATATTTTTAGCAATGGCTGATCAACCTTTTAGTCAAAAATATGGCAAGAATTTATGACTATTCTGCGTATTTGTGCTCTTGTCAGGGGCACATCTGATTATGAGGGAAATATTTCAGTCTGGGCATATCTTTGCTGCAAGGACACTGCAGTGAAATAACGTGCAAGAAAGCTCTGCGAAAGATCAGAAAGACACAGATAAACACTGAGAGTGCGAATGAGGAAGAGAGAAAAATATCCCTACTGTGCGCTGAGGAAAACATTTGCATACTGTTGGCCTACTTTCTCACCATCTCACACCTTTATGTCCACGCTCCTGTAGTTTTACTTTAGATGTTTTGTGCATGAGTGCATTGTCTGAGATTCCCTTATTGTCAGGTAGAGCTGCTCCCATCACTGTGCTACCCGGACTGTGAGCTTTTTGAGCACGTCAAAGAAGGTGAGGCTCGGTCTGGTGATGTGAGGCTTCTAATCCTCAGAGGGGAGGAGAGGGAAGCAGGCCAACCTGCGTGTCACTGTACCTGTACAATCAGGCCATTCACAGAAGATAGAAATCTGAGCCCACTGCCCCAGCAGTGCCAGGGATAACCAAAGCCTGAGAGAACTGAATCTTTGTGAGGAAAGTGATGCCTGTTTATGTACCCGGTCTGTCCTACATCTTGACATTTTCGCAGGGTGAGAAATAAAAACAGACTCACCTAAACCCTCTGACTCAAACAGACATGTTTCTCCAACTCCGACCTCACGACACCAGGCCAGGAAGTTGGCTGTGTTGTCCCGTGCAAAGAAGGAGCCGGATGGAGCGCTCCGCCGACACGGTATCCTCCGATTGGGAATTCTCTGTCACAGACACAGAGAAGAACCCCCTTACTTTCACTTAAACAAGATCGGATTTAAACATCTTATTCTGCAGTTTAACAAAGAAAGGACAAAAGTCCTCCAGAGTGACTTGTTCGAACCAATACCCAGAGCTCCACCAAAACACAGAGCCACATTCTCTACATCTACCGGTACACTGATGTCTGCTGAGGCTCTGATTTCAGCCCAGGATCAAGAACCCTTCCCATTGAAATCAATATGAGAAATGACGGGTTTGAAAACCTGTGCTACTTTACCAGGCTGTCTATGATTTGGGCTCAAATGACATGCTTATGGGTTTCAGCCCCCACACGGTCTGTTCGGGGAGATTTATGCGCTTTGCTGTGGTTTTATACAGGATATGTGTGTCTGTGCTTTGAGAAAGGTGGAATGAGCTCATGCTGGAAATATGCAAGCTTTTGTGGGTATTTTTCTTTTCATTCCAGACTCTCCTTTTGACTTTTTTTTTAGGGGATCTTTTGTGTTAAATGACTTTGCATTCCCGGATAAATATTCAACTTTGCCAAGGTTGTTTTTTTTTTTTTTCATCTAACAATCAGATGACTGTATTATTATTTCTGCCTTGGCTGCCAAATGATCTGCACCTTTGAATGTCTAATGATTGCACAGGAGGTAGGGGACTTCTGGAAAAGATTATCTTTAAACATATGGGAATAATAATAAGGAAAAGGAACTGCTATGCTTGAAATGAGCAACGACAGCTATAATCAAATTATTTCATTCAAAGAATTTAAATACCTCAACATGCACACACGAGATGAGCAGTTTGACACTTTAAAAATACATTTACCCGGTACTTTCTTACTTTAAGAGGTAGATGAGAAGATTATGCTATTATCACATATGTTAGGTGGAGGTTGAACTGTCTTCGACTGACATCTCTGTTTTTGCACTGGTTAAGCAAATATGTGGTGAGCTTTATGGGTGCAAGCGGACAGATTTCATGAACTTTGTACAGAGCCGGGCTACTTTTTCCTCTCCAAGCCTTTCTGCTGAGATAACCAGCAGCTGCGTCTAGCTTCATGGCCCTTCCTTTCCCTGTAAAAAAAATCCCTTTTGGTCAATGCTACTTATTTACGATGTTTGATCTTCTCATCTCACTCTCCTGCCGAAACCAAGTCTTGAACATTGCACTTTTGCTTAAAATTTCAGTGCTATAGCAATAAGTTCCCACAGTTATTGAAATGACTGTACAAAAATCAGCCTGTCAAAGTGTTATGACAAGAACGAAAACAACCTTTGCTCATCTGGACTTAATACTGATTGATATAAACACATGGGAAGACGTCTGGAGCACAGCATCTGCAAAGTGTGATTGATGGTACCCCTGTGCTGTAGTCACAGGCCCACTTCACACACCACATCGACTTATAACAGGGCTTGAACACAGATGGATGTCCTCTTTTAAGTGGTGAAATCTGATAGCAAACAACTAGAGCTGATCAAATGCCACGACAAGCATAAAGACTCATTGGATGACATACTGTGTATCAGACATGAATAACACGGTTAATCTTTTAATGAAAACCCTTAATTAAGACAAACAGAATCAAATCACGCTCGCTGCACAATATCATAATGCAGCTTTGTTTCATTTTAAAGCCTATCCAAGGACTCTCTCTCTCCCTCTGTTGGCATTCACAATCAATAGACTCCTCTATTTCGGCAGCTCCTCTGCTGTCTCACGGTCATTGACCTCAAGTATTTCCTCACATCTGTGCTGCTGCGCTCACACTGAGATCAGGAGACCCACTGACATCAGCACAGTAATGCTTCAGTGCAAACATCAACAACTCTCACTGAAGGACCAACAAACATCTTTTACTTCTTGCCTTCCGAACAGAGGCACGAACATGACCCAATCACAGTTTTTGCTGCATGCCACTGAGACCAGCTGTCACTTCAGCATTTAAATATCTGCAATAAACAGATACTGAAGGTAAATATCCATCTTTTAACATATATTTTTGAACTTTTGAGGATGTATCCATGGGGTTTTTATAATATATGGGGCATAAATAGAAACATTTTTCTTTTGCCTAGTTGTTTTTGTTGTTTTAGTCACCAACCCCATAAATATACATCTGGACAGACTGATTGGGTGAAATTACAGGTAACCACTCTCAAGGCACCCCTTTTAATGAAATTCATTAAATCCTCAGTCAAGGCTCACAAGAAAAGAACGTTTAATGCTGTTCTCCCAAATCTCACAGGGGATGTGGGGCCCCATCAGTTAACGTGTCCTTGCTAGCCTTATTTTTTTTTCTTTTTTGCCCTGTTGAAGGCAAGAGGCCCCCATCCCCCCATCCCACTTTATGTGCACTTCTTTCTAAAATTGTGGAGTTCTTTGCAAAGTAGGAATTCACGGGCGCAGTCATCAAGAGCGTCTTTCTGCCTCTGTGCTACTTTCCTAATGTTGTGTTGGGATATCCTTTTGTATTTAGATGTGAAAAAGACCATTACATGTGGAAGTGGTTTTAAATAGTGACTGTCAGTCAATCTGACCTAATAAGTGTCTGCTCAGATGATGTTTTCATACTCAGGAACAATGCTCTGTGAAATCGTTCAAGCTGATAGTCTGGGAAGATTTTCAGCCAAGATTTAACTTTCAGATTAGTGTTTTCACTGTAACCTGTATCACACAGGACTATTGCAGTCTCTCTGTACCTTGCTGTTGCCAAGGGTAGGCAGATCTCCATTACTCTGCCTGAACTTCTCCTGCAGTGTCTCAGCCAGCTGGCACAACAGGAAGCCATTGTCTAAGCGGTCCATGAAGCTCTCAGCAGTGATTTCCAGACCTGAGCAGGAGACACATAAAGAAAGAGCAGCGCCACAAGTTTAAAAAATATACATATAGTGTAAGGAAATAAAATTTAATCTCCACTTCACTCCGGGTTGCGGTCAAACCTGACGCAGTGCTGTTGATTCCTAAAACCGTTTTAATGACCGAGCGTCGCTTTTGCTGCCGGGTTTGTGGCGGCTCTGGAGGAGCCAAAAGCTGAAATAGAACAACATGATTTGAGAGGATCTGGGGATTTCCTGGTCACACACCGTGGGATGGCAACTACGGGGATGCATAAAAAAATCCAAAAAAAAACGTGGCATCTGTTTGTACACAGTAATGCCTCATTATCCTGTGCAGTTGCAGAGCTACGTTGGTGATCAACATGTGGTGTCCAGTTGACTGACTTCCAGAGGACCATTCTTTCTTAGTTAGATCATCGTGAAATAGGAGGTGGTGGCAGGGGGGTGTCTGTGGAAAGAAACTGGAGATATTTTTTTTATCCCTTTTCTCTTTCTTATTGGAGGAGGGGTTTAGGGGTTCAATGTTTAATGAGTTCCAAATGTTGCAATTGAGCCCAGAAAAGAGAGATTGAAATCTTGAGAAACACTCAGTGAGTCTTATACTCTACTCATACGACCCTCGTTCCACGCTGTGAGAGGAAAATATATTTCACCGGGCTCCAATAGAAGTATAGTAAAATTAAATATTTAATCATACGAGTTGCCCAGTTCCTTCAATCTGACTTGAGATCATCTTACACTGGGAATATATTAGCATCAGTGAGCTCTGACCGTTTGCAAACTCAGCCTTCTCCTTGCATTAAAACTACAATTAAACACCTGTTAAGTTTCTTGGGTTTTTCTTGCACTGCTAAACAACTGAACAACTGTCCACAGACAAATGCACAAAGACAAACATAAACACCTGCCAAGTGCTTTAAACCACCTTTGTTGTAGTTCCTGCTTAAGTAAGTGTCTTGAGGAGCACATTTTGCCATGACGACAGACAAAAAGACAGACTCGGGAAGTGAAAACAATACGAGCCAAGCTGTTACCGCTTTGACAACAATGACTCATCAGTATAACCAAACATATGCCTCCCACACGGTAGCGGGCCACACGGCAGGTCTCACCTGAAACTGTAATCAAGGATGTCAGCATCTTGTTTCACAGAATAAAAAAAAAATACTGAGCAAATACAGAACTTGGCCTAAACCAACAAATTAATTCTGTAGTGTTTATTCACTGGAAACACTTGCATGCTCCTGCTTATGAACCCTTTAGTTCCATGGCTTTCTAGCTCAGCTGGTTCCAGTGCAAACACACACACAGCCAGAGATAACGCGGAAGACACTGAAGTTGTTTTAAGTTGTTTGCACACAGACATGAGAGAGTCTCAGGAACCTTATAGTTGGTTTGAAAAGTGTCTGTTATATGCATCCAGGAGTAACTCCCAGTCATAACACATACAGTAGTTCTTAAGCATATTTTAAACAAAAAGCAGAGTCTATGAAGCGTTTAGCACCAGGGCCAGCGGAGGCCCTTGGTTTTGTGTAACAAGAAACAATCAAGCAGTTCATACTTATCTCTTCTAACATATCGGTGCGACCTTGTTAATAACCTAAAAGCAGTACAAGCATGATAATTACAAACACAAACCAACATACTTATGACAAAAGCTAGAGTAAACGTGCTGCATGTGTGTATTTTTGTGTGTTCACTCATACACTGGCTTCCTCATTAGCACTCAGTCATTGAAATTTTGAGAACTCGACTCTAACAAATTTAAAATTCTGATGAAACACTGGTTAACAGACAGTTTACATCTCTGAAACCCAACTAACAAATACATAATTCTTACTCTGGTGGCAGCCTTTGTAAGAATATTTATGAGCTGACTCTGGTGAGTCATTGGTGCAAGAATGCTTAAGAAAACATCATGGAAATGACTGTAGGTGTTTCTCTAAGGTATTTCACTAATGATATCCATGTTAAATACAAATTTTTCCCTGGCTCTAGGAACAAACAAAAAGAAACAACAACAAAAAAACCATACAAAACTCATTCCTACACACCCATTCAAATCAGATCAAAGTGCACTGTGCTTTTGTTTTGTGGCTGCGCTGTTAAAGAAGTACAGCGCAGAGAATCGTTTATTATACAACCACATCCTTGCACAGTGCTGATGCTCCCACCCACTATGCATTATTTAAGAACAGTTAATGGTGTCCATTATTCATTTAAAGTAAATCTGTGAAAGAGCGTTGCAACTGGAACAGGTCCACACAATCTGGGGACTTTAAAATAGTTTGTAATGAGGTGCGGATTGATCACAGTCCCCTGCAGAGGTGTTTACATCAGCAAAGACCAGTTGAGTTAATTTTAGACACAAAGCAATGAAATGTGCAGGATTTTTTCAAAGCCAAGCTATTTCTAAGCCTGTGTATCCAATGAATCTACAAACCACACCCTGATTTTTTTAATTTATTTTATTTAGCAAAGCTAGCAAAACATCTGAGAAATGAATGATTTAAAACACATTTTAACCACAGTTCAGGAATATAACTGTATCTTTATATATGTAACAGTATTACTACCCCTCAAGGCGATTGTTGTTATGATTTGGCCCTATATAAATATAAATGAATTAAATTCGCTTTGCTTAGCGAATTAAACCATGTTATAAACTATAACTCGTGGTAATAAATCCTCACTGTTAATAGCATGTGTTTCTTGCTCGTTAGTGTGACTTACCAAGAATATTAGTGAGCCACAGGGCCAGGTCTTCCTTCATAGGCAGCAGGCTGGCCTCATGTCGACTGGAAAGCCACTGTTGGTACTGCTGCATGTCTGTCAGGCCGGGCCCGCTGGGCTGTTTGGGGCTCAGGGAACTGCACATGGTTCCCTATTCATCAGCAGGAGAAGGTTAAGACAGTCCAATGATATAGAATTCATAAACATGTAAGATATCTGTAATATTATACAAGCAGACACAATATGCAGCTTCAGTGTGCAGTATAGCAGATCTTCAAAACATTAATAAAGGAGGTACATATTATCCAGATACCTCAGCATATTAATTGGACTCCATCTAAGTCCTGCTAATAAATGCTTTGTTGTTGTAGCAGGCAACAAAACCATCATGTTCTTCTCTATACATGCATATGTTTGAGTATGCACCCATGTATGTATGTATATACATACATGAGCCCCAACATTAAAACCATTAAGTGGTGAAGTGAAAAAAACATTGATCATATTGTTAAAAAGCAGCGTTCAGCTGGAAAGAACTGGAAAAACTCTGCCAGACATCAGCAGCAGCCTCCCCCAGCGGGACGATGTACCTCATCAAATGGCAAAAACGGCTCAGGAATGGCTCAAAGAACATGACAAAGAGTCCAAGACATTCCCTCCAACCAAGTCCCCTGATCACACTGTAACGCAGACCCACTCCTGCACACTACACAGTCAGCATTACTTAGATTACAAAGGTTCTTCAGTTATCTGCACAATGAGCTGATTTTCAACTTTGCTGTTAGCTTTGTGTTAATACTTAAACAATAAAAGAAAGATCCTGTGTCCTCACTAGGATAGGGATTCATGCCAGTGTGTGGCACTGTAGTTCAAGGTTGATACTATTAACTGGTAAATGGGACAATTCATCGCAGGCAATGTTTCTGAGTAATGCTAAAGTAATGTAACAAGTACTGCGAGGAATTACTCTCTCCAGGGAATAATTAGGTGATGCAATGCATCACTTAATTCAATTTAGAGTTGCCAGGAGGTGGGCTGGAACCTATCTCAGCTGTCACAGGGCAAGAGCTGGGGTACACTCTAGGAAAGGGCTTCTTCAATTCATTTGATATCAAAAAGGAAAAAAACAAAAAACAAAAAGAGAAATTCCCAGTGTTATACCCATTCAGTTGACAGTGATGCAAAACAGAGTGAATCGGAGAATTCTCATATGTAATAACCTTAAACCAGAGGTTCATTTACCTTCAAAGTAGTTACACATTTTCTGGAAATATACTAATCCATCATTTCAGCTCTAGTTAGCATCCTCCAAATATTGTGCAGCTCTTTTGAAAGCTTAAACAAAGTTGGTTACAGCGGTCATGATATGTCACGATAACAGAAGGAACCTCTGAACATGTGTGTGTTTTATACTCGTGATCTAAACAGATCCTCACAATAAAATTCTTCTGTATTAGCTATCATTCATGTTGCATATTCACAAAAGGGGCAGAGGAGGAGCAAGCTGAAACAGGAAAGGAGAGCAGCTTTGTTCTCCTGGTCAAAATCCTGGTATGGATTACAATAAACCTGATGACATTAGAGAGCACCATTTCTTTCCACCCCTTCTTTGGACAAGAGACACTTTTATACCAGCCAGACTGGTACAGTAGGACTTTTATTCAACCAACAAAGAGCTCCTTCAAATTACTCTGCCATCTATTAAGCAGTCTATCCAGCGGTGCATATCAGCCCATCACAGTCAACAGTGCAGCAGGTCTTGCGTTACAGGTTGATGGACAGATTGCATTTGACATCAGTACTTGGAACAATATTTAACTGCTGCTTATTTCCTTGAAAGTGAAGTCACTGAGTAAATTAGCATTTGGCCCAGTCTTTTCCAATACCAGGCTACAGTGCGCCAAGGGTGCACCGCATTAGCTGCAATATGAAAATCTTTCAGATATCAGTCCAGTGTCACTCCATTAACGGATTTGCGGTGGAGAAGAGTGAGTGCCTGACAAAACAACTGGGCACCAGATGCAAGACCTGAGCTGTGTAACAGGGCACATCAGCAGCACTGCAAGCGTCAATCTGTTCTCTAAAGTACTCTGACATAGAAAAACGATGCAATGCAGAAAGAAAGGAGACACCCCAACCTTTAGAGCATAGAGGTGGTGGCATAACGGGGATTTAAAGGCTCCCAAAGTACTCAAGAGTTTCTATTTTAAAATAACAAATAAGATATGAGCAAAATGTCTTTTCTCTGTTACATACAGAACAGACAGCTTAAGTCTGGTATCATTACAGCTTACCTAACAGCCAATGATGAAGTGACTTTGTTCTCCTTTTTTCTGGTAAAGTTCTTTGTCCGGGGTTCTTTAAAGAAACAGAAAGTTACTTGAAGAGAATTCACATTCTTGAAATCTTGTTGTTGCATTTTAAAGGTTTTGCCTCCACCGCTTCCTCCAAGCAGGAACATTTCACATACCCTCTGGCACGCAAATAAAAACAGGATATCGGATGCAAATTGCAAGAAGAGCTTATTTAAACAAGGAAGCTGCCACGAACAAGTAGTTCAAAGCACGCGGTGGATGAAAATTTCCTGTGAATACTGAGTGAGTGCAGCACGATATGAGGAATCTGACCTTTAAAGCTGTGTAACATTTCAAGGTCCGTCTGGAGTTGGCTGCAACTAAATGGCACCGTGATGCAAAACTGGACATCAGGACCTTGATGTCCGACCAAGGCTGTCAGATCTTTGAGAAGGCAACTTCTACTCGCTTGCATACACACACAAAAGTCTGGAGCTCGGCGCTCACACACAGGTGCTACATTCCCATGTCCACTGGTGAAGGCTGACAGACAGAACAAGGGCACTAGGATGTCTCATGTCTCATGTCTCAGTGCAAGAGCTTAACAAGCTCATTCCCTGTGCTGTGTCAGTGGGCAATGCATCAAGCTGCTATTTTACGTATTGTTATTGTACATTTTCCTTATTAAAGCTGTATGGTATAAAAACTTTCTGAAAGATTCCTATGTGTCTTCTCACATGTCACTTTAAATTAACTTAAAATTCACTACAATTTTCTTGCTTTGTTTGAATTCGCACATACTAGTCTCTGTTCAATAAATCTTCATGTCAACCTCGGTTCAGTTTTATTGTTCTTGACAAGATCGTAAACAAACATCGAGCTCAATTTTCACCATTTTTTCCCCAAGGAAATAGCCCCGGCCAGCTGTTGTAAAACATACCTGGTTCCTCTCACCATACTGTTTCCTGACATGTTTAGCTTCAGCAGCCTGCACTCTGCTAAACTGCGTGTATTTTAAGAATCTGGTTCATGATCGAATGCTAGGCTTTGTGCATTCACAAAGAGATCCCACTTTTCAACCCAAAACATTAAAAAAAAAATATATAGAAATACAAAATTTACATTCATCCTGAGTCATCTCGTGACTTCACTAAAGCCATGCTAATGTGCCACGGTTGGCTGCAGATTGCTTCGGGAAAGGCATATGGATGGGAATTTTGACTGATGAATCACATTAGAAAGTACAAGAGCGGCTCTGTCCTCGTAACCCTCTTTGCCCTGCATGCCCTCCTCCACTACAACAGTTAGCCGATCTGGAGGTTGATTTGTCCATCTAAATAAGGACACTCAGCATGTTTCTACTGCTGACAAGTAATCTGTTGTGTTCAGGTATCAGATTGCTTGAGGTGCTACAGTCAATGAAGCACACTGTCTGTATGGGAATCTGCACTTAAGTCTTACAAATGAAATGATTTCATAGTGGAATATGCAACCTCAGACCTTTGATTAAGGAAACATTTGAACTGTCAACAAACCAAAGTTCAGGCTGACTGTATGTCAAGAAAACAGATAAAATGAGCTATTTTTATAGTTTCTCTGAATTTGGTGCCAGGGCTTGGTTTTGGGTAGAACTGTATTGGCCTCTCACTTCATTTACAACTGCAATAAGGCTTTTTAGGTTGTCTCCTTCTTTACAGCTGTCACAAATAAAGCGCCCACAACAGACAATTTACAACTCTTGAAATAGGTCCAAGGGAGGACGCTTGATGAGTTATGACTCAAATCCAGCAGAGCGCCTGCTAATTAAAAACCAATGAAGTGACTGAGAGCAGCTAGTACACAAAATATATGATATTCCGTTTAATTACAGATGTCTGGTGTTAACTCTGAAAGGAGTAAAAAGGCAAGCACCTTCCTGTCAACTGTCAAGAAGTAAGATTCAACCAAGCCCCCCTCAACTGTTAAATGAGTTTCATTAGATGGTATTGTTCTGCAAAGCACACAAAAGGAAGAGATTGCAAAGGGTACTTTCTAAAAACTTAAAACAGAAATGCAGGTATGAATAGTCTGACAGTCATACAGCAACAGTGTAAAAGTAGCGAAAAATGTCCTGAATGAAAAGCTTCTCGTGTGTGCTCACCCTGAGGGTTCAGCTCGCTGGTGCGCTCCTTCCTCTCACTCGTCCTGTGAGATGCTGGTTCCCAATTTTCATGCTTTTCACAGTGGTGCACCGACCCACAGGTTAGCCTCCAAAATCACAAACCAGTGTGGACCGGGGTGATCTTTCTCGCTGCACAAGCTGACTGCACAAGCACACGCATACGCGCGCACACATATACTCACTCACAGCAGGCTACGCTGCTGCTGCTGATTATGATGATGGGAGGAAAGTTTGGTCGTGTTGGCACTGCCTCTTCTTTGTGTTCCCTCTGTAACATTTTTTTCTGGCCTGAGTTTCTATTCTTCCAAACGCTTTGATGTAAAGTTTTTGTCTGTGTGTGCAACTGTGCTGTTTGATCCATCTAGTCGCATTGTTATTATATCAAGACTGGTTCATTTAGGCGTAATTTGAATGACACTATCTTGCATTTGAGAATAAATTGAAATAATGAATGACGATCATTATTAATACATTAATTACGTGTTTCAGGTGTAGTCTTCCTAGTCAGAACACCCTTATGATGCCTTTTAATGTAAATGTGTGTGTAATCCATATAATGAATACACGTAAGCACAAAAATTCCGAGTTTGTGTGTACCGAACTCATTAACTCATTTTGTGGCGCTAAGATCACTTGATGTGCTTTTATTTTGAAGGGGATGAAATTATATTGGCACACTTGCGCACTAACGAGCGGTATATTCAACCGGAAAATCAAGCAGTAGAAACCGGCAACATATATGTGAGTTTCTTCAACTTTCTCCGTGCTGTCATATTCATTTTTTATTGTAACGTCAGCTGTTATTGAAACCCACGTTACTCAAGAGGAATTATTTATTGAAGTGCGGCACCGGAAGTCTTGTTTTGCCATGCTAGTATGTTGACATCTTAGCTAACATGTAGCTAAACCGCTACATCTCAAATGCTATAGCAGTTTTTCAGCAGCATGGCGAAATTCAGATGATTCAGGTTCAGGCTGTAACCTTTCTCCTCAGTGGATTTCCGAAGCCGGACTGAAGGCTGAACTCTGAATGCTGAGAGCGCCACATGGAGGCGGTGCTGAAAAACTTAGCTAGCACGGTGGAGATGCTGGCGGTGGCGGCGCAGAGCGATGCGCTGAATCACTGGGATAAACAAACTCTGTCCAGGGCGTTTCACTGGGCCCGGTACTGCGAGCACGTCTTCTCCAAGTTCCATAATAACGCCGCTATTAGGAGGATCATGGAGAAACAGCTGCAGCTCACAAACCAAACTCTGCGAGATACCATCCCCGGATACACCGAAGTCTCCTTCTCGGACCTCCCCCGGTGCCAGCACTTGTTGCTCGTCAGGTTGTTGAACAACCCAGAACTTCCCAGTTCTCTCATGAAGATCCTCTTTGACACAACGCGTCCTGTCAAGACGATGCACGGAGACTATGAGGACGTCACAGGTCTCTGCAGTCACATAGTTCAATGCAAATCAGTTTATAAGGTCCTGAGCCCCCTAGCTGATATGTCAGCCCTTGGTGCTGATGCTGAGGTGCAGGGGGAGATGCTGATGGAGAGGCTGGAGGCTCTGCTGAACCAAGGCAGTGAAACCTGCAGGGCAGAGCAATTTTTAGGCTCTGTCCTCCAGGGATGCGAAGGGGCATTGCAACAATTCTGTCTAGTCATCGCTGCAGCTCTGCTGACATCCAAAAACTGTACTGCACAAACTGCTGCACATGATTTTCTCTTAGACTGGTTGCAAAAGAAACACAGTCTGCTGCAGTACATGTGTTCTCTACTGTCTCCTACACTTTTGAAAGACCTGGCAAAAGAACATCAGAAACTCAGAGATGCATCTTGTAATGTACTGAAAAAGTGGGCCTCGGAAATGGAATACAGCTTAAGTGACGGCGAATGGGTTCTAACCAGCACGGGTCCCGGAGTGTCCTTCAAGAAACTTACTGAGCTCTTTCTGGCTTTATTCGATGCCAGTCCGTCTCTGAGGGGGGATGTAGAAAAAGAACTAAATGCTTTGAAGATTTCTGATGGAGACTTTGATGTCACAGGGCTGAGTGTGTGGGGAGACCTGCTGTCAGCTTTAAACATGTGACTGATGGTCTTGGAGCTTGAAAGATGATCAAATTGTGGCCAAATTCCTGTTTATATCTTGATATTGTCTATATTTTTCGGTATCAGAAAAAGCATATTAAACAGCTGACATCAGTTTTTTTTCTTAATGGTCACTAATGGTCACGTTGTTCTAACAATTGTAATGATATTTCTGTCAGTTTTGTTTAATTTTACCAAAGTGTGAGCATGACTGTGGGTTTATGAAATATTTAACATGTGAGAATTTAGGCTGGTGATGAGAAGAATTGTTCTAGCAGAGCAAAAAGTTTTAGGTTCTTCTTGAATGTTTTCCACCTTTGTTTACAGAAATGTGTTTCAGTACAATATTTGACTCATGTTGCACTTTTCCTCAGTTCATGTATCTAGACAAACACATAACTGCTAATTACAGATGCAGTAGAAAGATATAATAAAAATGGTCACTGTGGTGGCTCCTCTCAGACTGAAAATTTGTTGCAATATAGTAATTCTTGTTGAAATGTAAACATGTTTTTAATGAAATATTGTGATAATTAGAATATTTGTGATGACTTCACTGTTGGTGAAATTGGCCAGATTGCCTATTATATGAGATTTTAATCTAGAAAAGTGGAAAAAGAGGCAGGAGGAAGAACAGGGTGGGGCACATGATACAAGAACAATGGCAAATGGGATCCTGCTCTTGATGCTTCAGGAGTTAATCTCTATCTCTGGATTTATTGTTTTTAGTGTGTGTGTATGTATGTATGTATGTGTATGTATGTATATATATATATATATATATATTTATTTTAGTCAGTCCAGTTGGCTGTTTGTTGAACTGTTGAACTTACTTGTTTGGACACATTATAGCTTTTGTGCTGCTTTGTAAACCGTGTCAGCACACGATCCGACTCACTTAAACTGAACGTACTTGTGAGACAGTAAACAGATGCCATGGGTCTTTGGAAGCTCAAGGTTTCATTCAGCCTCATAAATTTGATCCTAATACCAAGCCATTAGGATCTGCGTTGTTTAAAATTATTCTGCAGCGGCTGATTTATGAGGACCTAAAAAGAAATTAAAGTTTAATTCCACATTATGCAGATCTGTGGAGAGAGATGGGTTTGATAATAAGCTCGGGGCTATAAGGAAATAGCAATAAGCAAAGCCAGCAAAAGCGCTGTGCAACCACGTACCCTTTCCTAACTCTACACACCTCAAATGATTTTCACTTTTTTTCACACCATCTGTCAGTAAAAGCCTCCAGCAGTGCTTGATCTAACCCTATACATTTGGATTGGCTTAATTCCAGTCATGTGACCTGACTGCCAATTTACACATCTCAGACCTTGCCCATGTGTCTGAGCGCTTGTGCAGCGAGGGATCAATTAGTCAGATCAGGCGTCTTCAATCAAACTCTGCACAATGGCTGGTGTGTGACATAACCCTGTCAGCGAATTAGAGCCCGGGCCACCGTGCGGAGGGAAACACCAACACAGCCACGGCTCATTTAACACACCGTGAAAGCAATTCTCGTAGAGACGGACGAGGGTCACTGAGTAAAGGGCAGCGCATACACAACCAGTTTATTTCCAGCCAGTGAAGAACATATGCCAACCAGCAACGACTGCAGAGATCTAACCTGCTCTTGTGTTATAAATGCATGCAAAAATAATTATGAATTTGTTGGGAGTGTGTTTAATTTACAAAATCTACAAAAATGCAGTTTCAGAGCACCATTCCACAAACTAACGAGAATTATCCACCTCTACTCTTTTAGCATGTAGCCATCGGGTGCTTCCACCCACAGTTATTTTCTTGTGTAGACTTTGTGGTTCTCACTCTGATTCACAGCCTTACACGTTACTGGCAGGGTGAGAGAGCTGCCATGGTGATGATTCAGATGTGTTACCATCTGACTCCAATAAGCCTACAAGAAAAGCAGCATTTTTAGTACTATGCCTATGCCAATCTAATATTTAATAAAACCATGTTTTACCCGTTATTTATAACAGTCTAAATCATACCCACATGTCTGGAAACCAGTAAGAAGAAACTGCTTCTTTTGGCAGTCTGTAACACTATTTAGCTATTAAACATCCACCTATCCATCTATCTTCTGAACTGCTTATTTTATATTTGACCTCCAGCTGTTTGCAGCAAGCTAGTAAGCCTTTATTAGAACAGACTGAGAGTCGAAGTCAGCCGCTTACATCCAGCTTATTTAATTTAAATGTGTCATGCGCTTTATTAATTCAAAAGGACAAATGAGAAAACTTATAATTTCATACATGTGTATCAGTTCTGTCTGTTATAAAGAACATGCTCTAAGCAAAGAGTTGGATGATTGTCTTATCCTTCCTTATTTTACATTCCATCCGTCCAGCGTCACGTTTGTTCTCCAGCAGCGTGGGGGTAACAAACTGCAGTGAGACGTGCTGAGAGCGACTGCTGTCCTGCAGCTCCTGGAGGGTCATGAAGGATAACATTCATTAAAACTCAGATCCAGCCACCATCTGGTGGTGTAAATAGGGAGTCCTCTGAGGGGGTGGGCGCAGGAGGGTAGAGCCCTCCCTCGGCACGTGCCTAAGCCGCTCCAGTCTGGCCCCTTTTGTGTTTTCAGCGATGGATCACAGAGGCAGGAGAAACCCCTCCGCACACCTGTGTCCCACTCAGAGGATGACGACGATCAGCGACCACCGTCAGCAGGCACGCTGCTTAAATGGGTTTGATTATCATCATAACATCTTAAACTAAACATCTCTGAAGGTTGAACAAAGATAGTGGCAACAAATTTATTTCTTTGAGCGGCATGATGAATTATATAAATAAAGAAAAATTATGTGCAGAAAAGCAAAGTGAAAATAAACCCTGCAAAATATTTTGTCTCATCACCTGCAAATTCTTCCACTCTCTTATTACGATTTCTTCCAGAGCTGACGGTGCTTTGTCAAAACACGACAAGTATCGTATTGGATCTTATCTTCCTTTGTCTGCTTCTGATACTATATCAGCGTGTATGAAGCTGTCAGTGTAATCCGATATGGAGGGGTGGGGGGTAGGGAAGTGGATGGACCTGTGATGGATTGCTTCAAATGTGACTGCACTTCCATGGAAGGTGAAAAACAAAAGACAAATTAAATGTAGCAGTCTCCGTCTACTCCTCTCATCCTGGAAAATTCTCACCTTTGCATCCCCGTTTCTCTGACTCATTAGAGCAAATGCTATCAAATGTAATGCTAATGGATACAACTGGAAAGTACAGCAGAGATGATAGCACACCGTTGTAAAGCCGTTTTGCAGAGGGTTTCATTTAAAATCGTTTTTTTAATATAATATCTAAACGTTTAGGAGTCGTGGTGGAAAAACACCAGTCTTTTCTTTTGTGTGTGTGTATGTTCAAATTACATATGGTTTGTAGTGGGTGCAAAGTAGTGATATATAACATGTTATTTTGTGCAAATCCAATTTGAGCCAGCAAGATCTCCATTAATAAAGCAATTAACAAGAGAGAGGAAGGAGGTGTGTGGAAAAACCACTTGCCCCGGGGATGTGTATTGTCATGTCGGGGGGTGTTGTAAAACAGTAATTACTCCAATCCTGCCTTGAAATTTAGGCCTTAATTAATACCTGATGTTTTGGGGTATGAGGAATGTGAATTATACGTTAGGACTAAAAAAAATATTGAGAATGCAGTGTGGAAAAAGAAATTGTCTGAGCTGCAGACTAGACGGGAGGATGGAGCAGGAGGATAATTGCATGCAGGGAGAGTCCCACAGGAGGCATGCAACCCCGTCATCAAACACTCATTGTGGCTGGGCCTCATCCCATTACAGTCCCCCAGGAGCCAAAGTGCACCTGCCCCACAGACTGACAACTACTCAATCCCCCTCCACTCACCCTCCAGATTACACAACCAGACGAACATCACAGTGACCGAGCCGGAGATGCTGCAGAAACATAAAGAGTCAGTGATGCAGGCAGGTGAAGGCTGACAGACTTTCCACCTGTGAAAGAAATGCTGACAGAAGCTTTTTGCCCAATTACTGTGCATCCTAACGGGCACGTCACTGGTGTAACAGCCATGACGACTCCGGCTGGTTAGGCATGAGAAAACATGTTCCACGTGAGTGGTGACACAATTGTGTTTTCTGTCAAATTAACGTGCGCCAAGCAGGCGTGAGGGTTAATGGTTTCCCTCCTCGGCTGGGTGAATAATCAGGGGAGAAACTGAGATTTATTGTAATTGCTCCCCCTCCTGACAGTTGGGATGATTTAGACATGAAGCTGCTTCCTGTGATCCAACCATCAATTAAGGCGGTGAAAGGCTACTGTACTCTGAATGTCCATCACGGGCAGGAAACCAGTGCTTGACACAACCCTTCAGACGTCACGCCTTTCGAACGTTCCCTTCGGGTAAGAGGAGCGCTCCAAAGGTTTCACGTGCACGAGGCTGCAGAGGTTTTCCCAGGACATTTTCACCTTGTACTGCAGTAACAGGACAATGGAAATTCAGACACTGCCATTCTTCAAGAAGCTGATCAGACTTCTGATGATGGAGTCAGTCATTCCTTTTATTTTGTGCTTTTCATAGTCTTATACACCAATAAGCTGGAGACGTACATGAATTATTTACCACAGTTATCAAGATTGCTTGCTTTACTTAGCAAACAGTTAAAAGAAAAAATCTGTTAATGTTCAGTTTATCTTAAGAGAAAGAGAAGATGAGTCAGTGTTTATATTTTTAAAAAGTTGATCTTTAGAGCATTTTTCTTAGTACGAGTTGATTGCTCTAATCTGCATTTTTTCAGCAACTCTACACAGATTATCTCCATAGATATCAATATGTCACTTGTTCTAATGTCATTGTACATTTTTATTCCTTTATGTTTTTATGCTTTAATTATCCCTACCAGAGCTACTTATTTTATTGAGTTTTATCAGGTAAATTTTGTGACAACAATATAAATATTTTTCAACCTTAAAGCTGCAAACAGTGACTACGACTACTATTGCTCTGTATATATATGTTTTTTTATTCTAACAAAAATGCATTAATAACTACTAAGGCGAATCATCAGTGCTGTTTAAATCTTTTAAACAGGAGCATTTCTTTATCTTAAAATGCTAATGAATTCTAGAGCTAAACAATATTGATTCGTCTTGTGATTGGACATAATGAAGGAGCTGGGTCAATACCTTAATGTGCTACAGAGAACAGTGTTGAGCTCAAATGTGCAGAGAAGGAAATGGGTGTGTCTGAGACCGCACATTACAAACATTAAAGTGTCATCACCTTTCCTTTCCTTTTTTTGTTTTTTCCTGATCTTTTTTCCTCTGAAACAGACCCAACCTGACTCCACATCAGCTTATTAAAATCAGAAGTCTCTGCAAAGATGTTAAATAGTGGTGGTGTGCATGGATGAAACAGTTTAGTAATGCTGTATCTCTTGCCTCTTACCAATTACCAGGCTACAGGGTCCAGTGCTCTCCCCTAGACCCCACAGACCTGTGCCATTGATTTACTAATGAGAAACTTGGAGAGAAAAGGAGATGCTTGGCAGTGATTGGAGAATTGGTGGTTAACCGATTTGGCAGTCTGTCTCCAGTCAATGAGGACTAATGTATCATCCCATTTACACACGAGATAAAAATGACAAAAAATTACCTTTTTGATTACTTTTTTTTTTTTTTTATAAAATGATATGAGTATTTTTTTATAACACCTTTTGACATCAACATACCTCTTCATTAAACACAATATTAGAAGCCATAAAATCACATTTATCTGTTTACATAATCTTTAGGCACAAAGCCGTAATAGCATCTTTTGGTCATCATAAACATTCTTAAATATTCATATATTTTAAACATCCTTGCAGATTTTTCATACAGCAAAATGAATCAAAGTGTTTAAACAGCAAATAAAGTCAGGTGGAAGAGCCATCTATTAATCCATGTGGTCCACTCATATGCGACGATATCAATGTGTCAATAAAGTACTTTTTGGTGACAATGACAATAACCAAGGGACACCAGGGGATCACAAAACGTGGTTGTTCATACACAGCAGTGCATTCCTCCTGCATCGTGAGCACTAAAGCTGGGGATCTCCAGACACTAATTGTAATTTGTTAAAACACACACCTTAATGTTGATCATCACATGACTCCAAAAACAATTACAGTTAAGATACAGCAAGCCAGTGTCACGTTACAAAACAGAATGTAATGGGTGGCAGCTGGTACACAGAATTTATTGCAGTGCACACCAAACATCAATAGTCAATGTTTTCTGAGCAGCAGTTGCCTTCACAACTTTTTTGATTTGTCTCACGTCACGACCGGAACCTGATTACGAAAATTCCTCTTATTATTTATAATGGCGGGAGACGCTTGAATCTAAGAACAAAGCAGTAGGCTGAATGAGGACTATCGGTGGCTGTGAGGCGGCCGCGTCTGAAACATTGATCTGAGCAAAAGTCATGCAACAAACACACACTAAAACTCTACGGTTCAACTTCACTCACGCTATTTTTGTCTTATATTGTGTTACAGGCCTCACTCGAGAAGAAGAAGACCTTTTTTGCAAGCAGACGTCTCCCTGAAGAGGTACTGTCCATGAAAAATATGGCCTTTTATATTAATGTTCACACAGATCAACGACCCAAAATTCACAATAGTCTCACAGAAACAGTATGCAGGTATATACAGTACATAAAACATATTTGAGAAACAGAATCTTGTTTTTAGAATACTTTCATAGTTTCAGTGCAATCAGAGTAGTATTTCAGAGAAAGACCCTACATGATGGTCGACTGCAGTTTCGTCTGGCTTGTCTTGTTCAAGTAGATTGATGAGCTTTGGGTCCTAAATAGTACGACTGCTGTCTGTATAGTGAAGCCCTACTGTAGGTACATGTGATGAGAAACATGAGGCTCTAATGAGGATTGTTCTGCATTGCAACTACTTCTTTACAGTGGCTTTTGAATCTTCTTTTACTTTAACATACAGAATGGATTTAAACATCTAATATAATGCTTGTGCAACTGGTGATGATGAGTCTGTTTTCGTGGGCAGACTCACCACAACTGTCTGGTTTAAGAGTAGCCGCGCTGGGTGTACATCTTTCCCGCTGGCTCCTGTACGTATTCCTCCGTTTTATCCCAGTCCTGCACCCAGCCTCCGTTCAGCTGCCCCGTGGCCCCGTAGCTTTTAGCCGGACCTCCCATCGCACCGTATCCCTGGGTGATGTCGCCCGTCTCCTCTGCCAGCTCGTCCTCATCTATAAAACCGCACTTCTCTTCGCTGGTTTCTTCAGGGTCAGCCCATGGCTGTTTCTCCCCCGATGCGAAGAGCCCGTAAAATATCACGCCTCCATAATGCACGAGAGAAGCAATGAGGAAGACATACTGCCACTCTTCACGAGTCTGGGAAATGGACAAAGGTTGGAGCCAGGCTGAGTCCCTTTGTAAAGTTTTAGGTTATATCATAGAACAGATGTGCTCTTCTAACTTATATATTGTACATATATTTATTAGTTTCAGATGTAGCCATTCTTGTATTTTGCTTGTTTACATTATTGTATTTTGCTTGTTTACATTATTGTATTTTGCACAACTCTGTTGCTTGTGAAGCTCGCACACAAGAATTTCACTCACATGTACTGTACCAATGTACCTGCACATGTGATGTGACAATAAAAGTGATTTGATTTGAACTTGCTCAGATTAGGCAGAACAAATACGCCACAACTGCACCAGTGGTTTGCATTTAAGTAAATAAAAATATAAGGGTAAGGATCAGGCACAGAGGGGATTGGTCATATTTTGGGCATAATGAGAGGGTTTGCTACAGTAAGGAAAGCTCTGTGATCCAGGTTTAAATGATTACACTATTAAACAGTAGACTAGGATCAGGAGATGGCTGTGGGCTTTAAAAACTCAAACAAAAATATGTTTGTTGTTGCCTGATTACGACTCACCTTGTTTTTTGTCATTGCTCCCACTATAAGAGGGCAGACCATCCCTGACAGTGTTCCCACGCCATTGGAAATGCCCATGAGGATGCTGGCATAGCGAGGGGCGATGTCTAGATGGTTCACGTTGAAACCTGCAACCAAACGAAACAAGGAGACTTCCTGAGTCTGCTGCTGATTCACATTGAGGTGGGATCAAATATAAACAATACATTATTGTTTTAGGACTCACCTGATATTGCAAAACCGCTAAATCCCACCGCCAGAACTAAGAAAGAGATGGCCACCCCCTTACTGTGGGAATACCCAACCACTAGTAAAAGAGTAGCCTCCATGCCAAAGCCTGAAAACAGCAGGAAAAGAGTTAAGTCATGAACTGATGAGGAGTACTTCAAAGAACTGACAAAAATCTCACGATTAAGGCCTCACCTCCACAGTTCATGATTTTGCGGACCGTAGTGGTGGACATGATGTTGTGGGTTCGCAGGTAGTCTGCTAGCTGACCTCCTAAAGGCACGATGATGGTCATGACCAAGTGAGGGAGAGCTGACAGGATTCCAACCTGGGAAAGCATCAAATACTTTTCTGAAGCAGCTCCAACAGCAGCAGAGCAGCTGTCACAACAAGAAGGGGATTCTCTCAGTCTCAGAGCAAATCTCAGCCTCTGCTGTAACCTCTTGTCTCCTCTATCACATGTCAGCAATAATTCACCACAGTAATATCAGAAACTCATCCTCAGCCTGAATTGCATCTGTCAGAGCAGCCTGAGTGATGCTTTACACTCTCGCTGGAGCTCAGAGGATTGGGGTAATTTGAGACTGGCTGCTTTCTTTTTACATGTATGACACATGAGGACAGGTAAAAACAGCAAATCACAGCATTTTCTAAAGCAAGTTGTCCCAAAATTGCAAATGTAAATATCCATTAAGCTTCAAAATTATTGTTTAATGTTCTATATGTTCTTTTTTAAATATAAAACAAAATATCTTTTGTTTTATATTGTTCTTTTTTTTTTTTTAAATCCATGGTTAAACATTTAAAATTAGGCAATTATTTCCATTGAGGTTGACCAAATATAATAATGGTTCAACAGAAACAAACTTTCTTCATTTATTACTTTTTAAGATGATATCGTTTAGCCTGCTGCATTGTATTAGCAGCTAAACGTACAATTATACGCGTAAGTCTACCATTCCAGCCTAATTTAACCCTGGGGTGACAATTATTAATACAATCTAAAATGCAATAGTACTTAAAAGAAACCAGGAACAAATGTTGCACCTTGAGGCAACTTTTGTTGTGATTTGATGCTATATGAATAAAACCGCATGGCTTTAATTACATTTATACCATTTAGACCCAAACTTTCTTCCTAGGATGCTTCTTTTAAACTGAGTTATTATTTACTTAGCTGCCAAAGGGAGTCGTTAGCGGCTGAAATCTAATCAAAGAGGTTGATGTGCCAAGTAGGGTATAATATGTTTTAAGTACTTTATGGCTGCTTTAAACACCTTTGCCCATCTGTGACTGAAAACTATAATGAGAGTGAACTAAAATAGTAAAAGCTGTGGGTGAAATTTTAAGCTTTTCACCCACAGCTTTGTGGGTGAAAAGCTAAAGGAAGCCAAAAATTCTCTGTAGGTTTCTAAGTATAAACAAAATCTTTATTATTCTCACACTGTTTTAATATTTTCATCCAGTTATGTTACTCTAACAAATTTCAGTTATGGCCAGTTTGGTATGTTTATCCCTGTAGTTCTGAAATCATGGGTTGAGCCCCACTGGTGAGGCATAGGGTCACTGCAGTGGCTGCATGGTGAACCCTCTTTTTGGTTTCCGGAGTTGGGATACCTTTGTTCAGCTAGAAAATGAAAACATTTAGTCTTTAAGAATAAATACATGACATTAGATGGCTGGCATAACAACAAAATGGACCTGTTATGCCTTTTTTAGAAGCAATTATAGCATCGGTTTTTTTGGAAATTTGATGGTGAGATCAGATGAGACATTTTAGGCCTAATAATAGACTTTATAAAGCATAAATTTACTCACCTTGCTGATCTCAAAGCCAAAAACTTCTTCAAAGTATGCAGGCTGACTGATGAGAAGCAGATAAAAGGTCCAGCTTCTGCAGAAGTTGGCCACAATGATTGCATAGACAGGCATAGAAGAGAAGAATTTCCTCCAGGGAGTCTTGAATTTCTGTTGAAGCAACGTGACAAATGCTAAATCAGCCTGAGCAGTGTTTGGTGTGGCATCAGAAATCAGAAGATACAGACTGAGCACCCACCTCCATCGCACCCATGAGCTGGGCACTTTCGCCAATGCTCTCCTCGATGTAACGGCGCTCCTCCTCGGTGATTGTTGGATGTTCTGCCGGGCTTTCATAGGACACCAAAATCCAGAACATGTACCAAAATATCCCAAAGGATCCTGAACAAATCAAACGCATTAGTCATAAAAAAAACTTCAGATGATACAGATCCACAGAACGTAAAATTCAAGCGGAGATTTAGCAGCCGTCAAAATCAGAATACAAAAGTACAAAATAATGGAAAGCAAACATATATACTATCTGATTTAATGGGTTAGTCATAATAATGCTTGGGCTTATTTCAGAAGTTTAGAGAGTATATATTAGTTAGATAGTTGCATGCATAGACAGACATGGGAGAGGCAGTGAACTGACTCACCGGTGTCAGTTATATAACATTGACTTTGTAGACTTTGCTAACTTTATCTAATAAGCCCACATGAGACTGTAGCAGCACAAGAAAAATGCACAGAATTGAACTGTATGGCATTTATGGCTAAGAAAAAACCCAACTGTTACATTATTTCTACCTTTACATGGAACAGAGTGTCCTTTTAAGGTGAAGTCAGTCAGATAAAGCAGTACTTACCATACACATAGAAGACAGAGGACCATCCAGTATACTGGACCAGGATCCCAGCCAGAGGCATGGCGATTACTGCGCCGGCGTATGATCCTGAAGAGGACAAATTGTCATGACTGAGCAGAAAGCGATCTGTGTTTGTATTTCGTTACAAAGGTGTTCACTTCTTGTTTGCACACCTTTTAGGCACAGTGGTATGTAACCCTAAACCTGCACTCAAGTGTATAAAGTAACGTGATGATGCATGATAATGATGAGCCAATCTTGCTTTTGTGTGTCTGTTTTGTACCACAAAACGAGATGGTTGCCAGACGACTTCTTTCCAGCGGCGGAGCCCATTTACTCCAGATCCCGTGGCAGGCCGGGTAAGTCACTCCCTGTATGGTGAATGAAAAACACAACATTACAGCAACAGTAAGATCAGACAGCGATTGTTTCCCACCAGCTTTAACATACTTGTTTTGACAGCGTAAAAGCACAACATGCTTAATTTGCTAATTTCATCAACACTGTAGCTGTTTTCACAATTAATGAAAATATATTCTGCTTGATTGATGCCGTCTCTTCTTTTTTGCCAGAGACTTACAAGTCAAATTGCAGTTAATAACAAACAAACTGACATGCATTGTAGCTGATCTTTCTAATAGAGACTAATGGCTTAGGTTTGAGTCAGTGCAAATTCAAGCTGACTGCCCACTTCATGAAAAAAAAAAAAGAAGCCCTGGATTGTTCCCATTAAATCTTCATTACACACTAAGTGGCATACAATCAACTATTGATAGACACAAATTGCTGAGGCTTGCAGTGGGAGACACCCTGAAATGCTAATGTTTAATTTGTAGTAATAAGCCATGGCGCTGAACGCAGGCAGCTCCCTCTCTGAATGGTCATGAGCAGCAACTGAAACTACAGTTTGGAGCTAAACAAAACAACAAAAGAAGATGACCTTCAAACTAATAATAGCGTCTCTCCCTCTGAAATCATTCCCCTTCTTGAGCTGCGGGAGCCGCCCGCATCAAGTGGTTTTTATCTCTTTTGTTCATTGTGTTTCTATGTGAACATGGAGCTCTCTAAGCCAGGCAAGCCAGTACACATAAGCCCTGCTATTCAGGGTTTTACTTTGTTTGACGATTGTGTACTAATATGTGTACAGTATAATGAATAGAGCTTCCTTTTTTTCAGCAGAAATCCAAATAGAGAGCAGCAGGCTTGAATAGAAACAGAAGATTGCTGTAAAACCTGGCTGAAAACAGAATGTCAGGACAATTTCATTAGGAAGGGGTCAAACTCAGCTCCTGGTTTGATAATGAGGCATCATCCTTGAGTGTTTTAAAGGTCAAAACCAAATTGTGCATCAGTACCTCCACCAACCCTTGTAATATCCTCACAAAGATGACACATCCGTAGTGGACCCGGGCGGCAGAGGGAATGAACATGTTCAGGGTAGATGTCAGCACGATGGCAGCACCAAAAACTCTGGATAAACAGCATTACAAGATTATTTGTCAAATTTGTATCAAAATGAAATCTGTATGTGACTCAAGGAAAAGAAAAGCGGGGTATGCATCTTTTTGATCAACTGCAAATATCAGTAAACAGTAGACTGAATCCTATATTTTAAATTTTTATAATATAGTGGAAGAATAAACACTCATAATCAAGACAAACCAGTCCTAATTGGGTGCCACACACAAAAGCGCGCACACAACAGGCTGTTATTCGGTTTCCAGGGGAGTGAGGACAGGAGGTGTTTGCAGCAGAAGGCGTCAGAGGGCTCAGCTGACTTGGTATGATGAAGCTCTTCAAAGATTCATTTAGATTCAGTTTTAACAATCCTGTAACGTTAATGTAATAAGGACCCATGCTGCGAGCTTAGCGCACTTTATTTTTCCTTGCATCTCCTTCTTTCTGCAGTATCTGTCTACACTGCGTTCTAATATTGATCGACAGTTTAACTGTTAGTTTTTTTAAAGAATGATCGTTTTGTATATTTATCTATATTTCCAGTCAGCCAGTCAGCTGCTAATGAAATAATAAGGTATAGAAGTGGGACGCGGTGGTTGAAATCACGCTACAATCTTTGCTTAGAAGCACTTCGCACACATGGCTTTGGCCGGTGTGGTTGCCATGCCTCTGAACATAAAGGATTAGACACGGTGGTCCCGTGGGAGCTCATTAACATGAGGAGGCACGCCTGGCGGGCATCAGCCAAATCCCCAGTTTATCTGCAGGTTTCTCCAAACCTACTGGTTTGCCAACAAGTCTGCACACTAAATTATACCTTTTTTGTTCGTAGATACAATGGGAAATCAGTAGGAAACCGATATTTCCTAAATATAATCTCCTCAAAGACCTAACTCAAAAAATGTGTATAGTTTTACCTGTTTGCAGCCAGCCTGGAGGAGATGTACCCTCCTGGAATCTGAGTAACTATGTAGCCCCAGAAGAAGGAACCGTGAATCATCCCCACAGTCTCCGGGTCCCAGTTGAATTTCGCTTTCTTTCAGGCACATAAAAATAAAAACAAAATTACGTCTCTTTTAATTCGCTGTAGTGTGTATCGCAGTGAGATCACTTTTTCGTTTTTTTCCCTAAGTGGTAAGTGTTACAGAAGAGAAATATTTGCAGAAAAGTGTATATAAAATGTAATGCTTCGCAGTGAAATTGACCTCTGTGATTATCTAAAATGATTTTTTTAAAAATCACAATTTCCAATAAATTTACAACAAAAAAGCGCAAACTATACTCATTTTGCTAATTACTCTGTTAACACATGAAAGGCACTTGAAAGGGACAAAAGACTCAGTTCTATCTCACCACCTATCACACATAAGAGGGTGGGGTAGGGTGGGGTGTAGGATGGGGTTCATGGTGAATGAAGAGGCGGGGTTTACAGGCACCTCTTTGATGATTATCTTCCCGTTTTGGTGGATTGTGCTGTTATTGACCATGCTGACGATGGCCACACCCAAGTTACACCGGATACCGAAGGAGATGCAGAAGCCGAGCCCGCTCAGCATAGCGATGATGTATCTGCGCGGCAGCCCGAAGCACGTGCAGTCACACAGGGGCGTCTTCCGCTCCTCGTCCGCTCGCGGTCTCCCATCCTCCGTCAGCTCGATCGCTTCACCTGTTTGCTGCCGCTTTTCGAGTCTCCTGCATTTCGATTATATAATACTCATTTTTTTTAGGTGATTCATATGTTCAAAGCCGGCGTGAAGGGATGATAACAAAGTACCAGCCAGATACTGTGTTTAAAGAAAGAAAACAGTATTTTTTTTATATTTATATATATATATATATATATATATATATATATATAATATTATATATATATATATATATATATATATATATATATATAAATATAAATATGGATTTTTAAGCCAGATCAGCAGAAATAATTCCCCTGGAAATACCCAACACTGCTTCTTCGCGTTTATGAATGAGAATTTCATTTCAACTCCAGGCCCTGTCAGTGGCTCTAATTTATTCTTTAATCTGACACAGGCCTCCAAACGCCTGCACACTCTTCATGAGGGGGGAATATCCTGTTATAATTTTTTCTTGACTTGTTGAAAGGAAAGGATGAATGGAATCGAGGAGAAAAAGATGACCTTCATACCGCATTGCAGTATCATCTGCATCAGCGCTGTTTGCAGTTAAATTTCGCCCTATATATGTTTTTTATTAAATATTTAATTAGCTGCCATAAATCCGGTGTAGGGATTTCGCTTTGGCTCCAATTCGGGAATTTTCACCGAAATTTAAGGTGGATTTAAAAACCCTGACATGCGAAGGCCTCATCCGGTGAAATGACTGGCCTAGCTACAGCTTAAATCAAACAGATTTGAGTCACGTTTTTTTTTCTGTGCTACAGCTTCTAAAAATCATTTCTGGTTCAGCAAATAAACGAATAAGGCTCAAAAGGGTTCCAAACATATGCAGACCCAGATTAAAACCTTCGTATTTCTTTTGGAATATTTGTCGAAGATTTGTTTTTGCTGCCATAATATAATTTATGTGCATTCCCAATGAGAATTAAAAAGAAAAAATAAATAAATAATAATTCGCTTCTACTCCACCACATCCTGCTTCCCTGCTCCAAATCTAAACGGGTGCTGTTTCCTTTGTAGTCAGCCATCAGTTTCACCCGAGCCACGTTTCATGCAGCTCTTCGTGGCCGTTAAAGAATATAGGAAGTCAGTTGATATGAAGTTCATCTATCTTGAAGTAATACAGATGAATACGTGAGGTAATAGATATCCTCCGACCTTGTGTCACGACTCGTTCTGTTTCATTAATTATTAAAAACACCCACAGCTGCTGGTGGAGGGGGACCGTCCTCCAGGGAAATATCTGATCCTTAAATATTCGGGCCACACGACTCTGCTCTCAGCACCCTGTTCGTGATTCACCTCATAAAGATGAGATTTACCTTTTTTCTTTAAAAAAAAAAAATGTAATAATTGTAATGCAGTAATAAGCACATTCAAAGCCAGTGCACGTTTTCTTTGTCTGTGTCATCTAATCATTTGGACGTATTTTCTATTTTAATTGATCCTTCCAAAACTAATTCTGCGATTAAAAGAGATGTACAATTTCTTACCTGTACAGAGCCCCGAGGGCCTTTCCTGCCATTTGTTTCATCCCCTCTTTACTGGTGGGGAGAGCTTTCTCCTTTCCTGGCTCCATATCCAAATTATCTTCTGAAAACAATTTCTACAATACTATAACAAATATAAATGCAGCATTAAAAAGCATATTGTTAAGATATTAATCCAGAAATAAGGCGCCTATTTCTCTTCAGCGAAAAGCATGTGTCCAGTAGAAACAAACTAAAAAATAAAATAGATGCGCCAGAAAAAAAATGGAGAAGGACGAGAGAGGCGTTCAGTCTGAAAGGGTTGCTTTCACAGTCACAAAACAGCAGTCAAATAAGTCCGCTTTTGCCTTGCGCAATGTTAATCCGTGCAGTGCCATTTTAAGATCCAGCCCGCGATAAGAAAAAGGCACCACCGAAGATCACAACTTGGATTTTTTTTTCCCTCCTTTTTTATTGTTCTATTATTTGAGAAACTGAGGTGGGATTGTGGAGAGCTTGAGCCGGCGGAGATGATCGGAGCTCAGGTCTAACCTGAGGTGGGGGAATCTCCGGTGTGGGTGCAGCTGGAGGAGGTTTCAGCACCGCGGACAGCGCACAGCTCATCTACCTGTCAGCAGCTCCGCGCAATGCCCCTCCTCCCTCCGCTCCCACCGCTCGTCTCCTCTAATTCAATTACAACTTCAGATCTGTTAACAGCTACGGCTGTCAACTGCATAATCGTTCCCCACCCTTCCCTATTTTCTAATTCAGGAGAAGATAGTTTCAAGATGATTCCAGACAACTTATAAAAGGGCAAGCTCTCGAGCACTCGTCGGCTTAAATCTGAGGCTGAGATAGTTTGTGAAAAACAAAACAAAACATGCTGAAAGCCTTGCTTTTGCTAAAATCCAACAAAGATATCAGCTCACTATTTGTATTTGAATTCATTTGTTTATTTAAAAGATTTGCTATTCACGCACGCAGAACCAGAAGAAAGTACAGCACGCAGTCAACCACGCAGAGGCAGTGTTGTTTAAGAAGCAGAGCAACCTTCACAGATAACAGACAAGATAAAGGAGACCAGAAACCATTGTTCTTTGCAGTGTATGTATCCGATATTGGCACTTAAGAAAGGGAGGGGAGGGGAGGGCTCACAGCGGTTTGTGATCTCTGACACATTTACACAAAAAAAGAAAAACATTTAATCAAATTCCTCATTAAGGTCTAGGTGCAGGCAGTGCGCGCACAGGTGCAACACTGGACACCTCCTGCCTTTTCCTAAGGTTCATCTGGGTCCCTTTAGATGTTGCCTGCATGCGTGGACAACGTGGAAACATGGCAGCAATCGTGCCGTAAAACTCATTCCTAAACTGGCGTCCTGTAAGGCAGCTGAACAAGGGGTTAACGCAGGTAATGAGGCCGCAAATACACATCTCCAGGACGAAGGCCGTGTCTGCGGGTCGCCAGGAGGCGGGGCTGTCGGGGTAAATCGCCCGTATCACGACGGCAGCGTTGCGGCTCAGGTGATAGGGCAGGTAAAACGACGAAAATATGACTAGCACTGCGCCCAGCAGCCGCCTGAGCCGCAGCTTCTTGTTGAGGTGATCGGGGTGGAGAGGTCGACGGCGAAGCTCTCTGATGCTGCGCAGGCCGCAGTAGCAGATGGCGAGCAGCGGGAAGAGGAAGCCGATAATGGAGCATATGAGGGAATAAGGGAGGCTCTCCCCTGTTTCACGTAGCAGTACGTACAGGGTGCACACGGTGCGGTTGCTTCCGGGGCAAGTCTGGATCAGAGTCATCCGGGCAACAGGTATGCTTAGGAGCAGCGTGGCCGTCCACACGGCCGCGCACAGCAGACAGGCCTTCCGCCGATCGAGCAGCACCAGAGAGCGCAGTGGGTGTACGATGGCCAGGTATCGGTCCACACTGATGCAGGTGACGAAGAAGATGCTGAGGTAGAAGTAGTTGTGGTAAAACATCCTCACAGCAATGCAGAGCGGCAGCCCCTGGTTCCAGTGCATGTGGTTCAGATGGTAATGGATGAGGAAAGGCAAGGCCAGCAGCCAGGAGGTGTCAGCTAAGGTCAGGTTGAAGAGGAACACCGTGCTGCGGGTCCATCGCTGCAGCCGCACGGTGAAAACCCACAGGGAGAGCAGGTTGAGGGGAAGCCCGAGGATAAACACAGTCAGGAAGGAGGCGGGCATAATGTAGAGCTCGACCACAGTTAAACCATGATGGGTGTCCAGATCACAAAGGTCTTCCTCTGGAGTCTGGATGACCACAAGCACAGTGTCCAGCTCATTGGCATTTAAATACATCATCATCTAAACTATCAATCCGATTTGTTTACTGGGCTCATATACAGAATCTAGGCTACACTAGAAGTATTCATCCTCATCGAACAACATGATAGTCATATAAGCCCTAATCACAGAGCTGAAAAATATTTCAGTTGATTCACAGTTTCATCTTTAATTGATACACATTTAAAATCACATTGAGTCTTTACAACCTACCTGAACCGGACTGTTCCCCATGTCTTTGTTACAGTAGGATCTGCACAGTGCCAAGTGAAACAACCCTGCCAACATATTTTGGTGTAAAACACACCCACCAGTGCGAGCAAACACTGAATAGTTATCAGTGCTCTCTCTCCGGCCATCTGTTCTGTGAAAAGCAACTTTGATGTCCTCGGCACAAGAGCTGCTGGTCGGCAGCATCGGTCCAAATGTGTCAAACAAATGCTCAAGTTTAATTAGTACTTTCTTTATTTTTTTTTGGTACATTACACATTTTGGATATAGGACTGGTTTACAAAAATAACATAAGAAAATAGAAAAAACAAATTTAAACTATAAGGAAACAGTAAACTCCTTCACCTTTTTCTGTAAGCGTGGACATTTGACCTATTATAGCAAAACAAATGAAATACAGGAGGGAAGAAAGTGAGCATGAAAGATAAATAAAGGGGAAATACACACAAAAGGGAAAGTACTAGATGCATTAAGGCATTAACAGGCACTGGTTCAACTAGGAAGACATAATAAGTAAGGCAAAATGTAACAGTAAGGTGGTCACAGGTAAATACACCTCAAACAGAGTCTACAGCACAACCAGTCAGCTACTTAAATTCAAATACTTCAGAAACAGATATTTCTCATGTCTCTATATAACCACATAATGTGAAATGTCCTTCATATCATCTCTAATCTTCTTGTTAACATTTAAAAGAACATTGAACTCCTTACCTACAGCACGACTCCTGTTCCATTTAAAGGAACAGTTACTCGCACACACTTCAAAACACTGCTCATGAATCTGTAGTGTCATGACAAGAATTACATTTACATGTTTATATCTCGGTAGTCATGTTTCATTAAGTGCTTTGTGCAACAACAACAAAAAAAACAACCAAAAAACAAAATGTGTGTCTTTCCTTCTCTACAAAGACACTGCTGAGGAAGCCAGAAGCACAAGAAGGCGGTGATGGCTGATGTGCTTTGTGTAATGGAGCAAACATAGTTCAGTAGGTGAGGGCCGGCTTTCATTAGCTCTGTGTTGGTAAACATAGGCACATTAAAAAGGGATCTCTTCACTCCCATCTCCAAGAATGGGGCGGACTGTCAACATTCAACATGCACCAGCTGCTGCTTCTGTGGCTGAAAAACTGGCCACTGGAGGACAAAATCTGTCCTTCGCCACAGCGGTAACAGCAGCACAGAGTTCCGTTCATTTAAAGAAAAAAAACAAAGTAGCTACTTCACATGTCAGGTTTGGGCCTGCAGAAACTGTCGAGGCCAATGTGAGCATATAGCAAAAAATGTGCCTGGGCCTCCTAACTGCCAGTGGCGTGAAGAACAGGAAAGGTTTTGTTAAAGTTGTGCTGCGACCTTGATGCAGAGAAATAAACAATGCTCACAGTAAAAACAGAAACAAACAAACAATAGAGCTGAACGTGAATTTCTATTGTGTGGCTCTACAAAGCTGCACATACAGTAAAAAATATTCAAGAATAAGCAAACTCTGCCTTAAAACTACATTAGTTATCATTTGACTGATACACCAATGACAACATATGCTTTACACATTAAGGCATCGAATCTTTGGTTACTCATAGTGGCACTTAACAATAAATAGGCTTGTATTTAGAACATAAGAAAGCTCTCTGGTTGACACACAGTGTATAAGATTTTGTCTTTCCTTAAACCAAATTTGTGATCATCCTCAACACCACAATTAGAACACAGAGAGTGAGAAATCATAAATATGCGACAGACGTTTAAAGTCAAGTGTCTCAAACTTTCAGCATGCATGGAGACTTGGTCTTTCACCTGTGTGATCTTCTGCTATTGCTTGATTAGCAGAAGAGGGATGGCTGTGAGTAAAGAACAAGAGGTCTAGCACTTTAGCAAGTGTCATGGCATTGCAGCAAACTGGTGGTCAGAATCAGAAAACACAAGCAGGGAAATCTATGTCACTGTGTTCGACTGACTGACCAGCAGCTTGCTGGGCTAGAGGCACTCTGATAGCACCTCATGTTTGGATAAAGATGGGTAGATCATGGGTGTGCAGGTGCACTCATTGTTGCTGTTCTGGCTGAGCTGGATCTTCAATTTCTCCACTTCATAGTTGTGGAGGTACTCCTGGACCAGGTAGCGCTCTCTCTTTACTCGAGCCCTCACGTCAGATGGAACATCAGGAATCATCCAGGCCACAAAGAACTTGACCATAAACACAACATGCTGCAGAGGAAGAGGACACAATCAGTGAAATAAGAACAGGTCAAGAAGAAGCTTAAAAATGTGAAGCTTAAAAGGTCATTAAGTGCTGGTGTTACCTCCATGATGATGATGAAAGCCAGCTTGGCAGCCAAAATATGCCAGAACTGCATGTTGTGTTCGTACCTCTTCTTATCGTCAGGAGGATAGCGGTAATCGCGATACCTGCAGAGCAGCAACACATCACGTATTTCGATTTCTTGCAGATTTTAAAACAAACTGTGATTCCCAATTCAAGATTATTTATTGTTATTCACAAAGGAGAATTGTCACACTAACCTCCAGCTTTATATTGTTATACTTTAACTCTCAAAAAAAAAAAAAAAAGCTTTTTGTGCAGCACTTTAGTTCATTTACTGATTAAAACACATTGTTTTAGCTTCTTTACCTTAAAAACCACATTCTCTTTAGGCCAACTTTGATCTGACTGGCTGCCAGAGTGCTGCACTGTAGATGACCATATAAATGATATCTGCAGTCTATGAAATTACACAGAGTCAGGAGTAGAAAAAAACCTTTCCAAGCCTGGTGTTTAGAGCAGCATAACATCTGACTTTTTGCTCACAGGAGTTACTTGTATATAAACTCAACTCAATATTTGGCCATCTTAAATGTCACTAACGTTCATTATTGTCCCACCATATATCTATATATCTATCTATAGATATATAGATATAGATATATAGATATAGATAGATATAAGAAAAATAAGAAAAAAAGAAGAATTAAATAATATTATGGTACAAAGAAGCAGATCACATTACTTATTTTCTGAATTAAAGGCCCTGCATACCAGCAGGTGTCTTGTATTACTGTCTAAATACAGTCAATACTAACATATCACGGGTATATTGGTAATATTTCTGCAATGTGACTCAACTTTAATTTTAGTAAAATAATTGTAATATTTGAATATATAGATTACACAAAAGACAATATAGCCACAGTCCTGCTCTCTCCATCTCGTAATTACACACACCTGCATGTTGTGATACTGCTGTTGAACCAGGATGGATATTCCTCAGGCCTTTCTTCTAGGGAGAACTGAGAGATGTTAAACACTGACAGGCTGTTGTTTATGTAGCCTTTCATATTCAGCTCATCGTGTGTACGGTAGGCATACATGTACACTAGCCGTGGGATCATATCAGAGGTGAAGGCCACGATGAATGCCTATAACAAGCAAAGAAATTATGTTAGTCTGTTTAGTTAAATAAACATAATGTGTCTGCCAAAACATTTTGAAGTAAGACCAGCACTCACATTTGTGACTACAGAGAGTACGGCCATCCCACCAAGGATTTCCTCCCAGGCTCCTATGCTGTGGGCCTTGGCTGCTACAGGGCGTCTGAACTGCGTCGTGAGCTTCCAGGCATCCACTCTAACCTCAATGATGTTGTTGATAAGTGCCAGCAGGGGTGCCAAGGGAAAGGAGGCAACGAACAGTGTGATGAAACCAAACTGGATCACTGAGACACAGAGAGGAATGAAAATGGTAAGAGACACAAATGAAACAGCTCCATCTGCAGGATGACGTGGATCACTCCAGTCCACCAATCAATCCATACATCCACCCTATTCTTTTACTGAAGGTGAATATATATTTTGTAGAGCTCAGCTTCTTGTTGAGGTCAATACTAACACATCACTGGTATAATAGTAATATTTCTCAATAATCTGTCATTAGTAATGTGTGTAATAGTCTGACTGTGTACTGGATCTTTACCCATTTCCAGGTATTCATAGAAGAGGCCTAGTTGCCCAAAGCCCTGCAGGTCGTAGTCCTGCTCCCAGCGGCTGTACAGACTCTCCGGGTGACTTCGTGCCTTCCTGCTGCCCCACCAGTTCATCAGCCACCTATGCGACACAAGGGGGCGATAGAGTGCTATTAGGAAAAAGTAATCCCTTTCACACAGCCAAATTGGAGGTTGTATTGAACCACAAACAATGGTGGTGAGGAGAGAACTATATTTCTCGAAGTTTCATACACATATGATTACACTGCAAGGAGCTGAGGTTGTAAATACGTTTTAATATCCGGAGCTCATTTTGGACTCTAAAATAACATTTAAACATCATAGTAAAAACTTGTCCAGCATTATAAAATGTAACCTACAGAATTTCAAGCAAATCAGACCCCTCTTATGCTGACAACACCCAGATTTATCTTCGGCTCAATAGAAACACCTCTACTCTCATGGAATCTTTATTCAAATGCCTTGACGAAGTTAAAATCCGGATGGTCTCAAATTTTCTTACCTTTAATGAGGACAAAACTGAAGTAATTATTTTTGGACTAAGCTGTAACTTTAATGGCCCAGATTTAGATTTTTGTAACTTATTAAAACACACGTAAAAAACCTGGGGGTTTTCTTGGATAACAAACTTACATTTGAGAAACAAATTAATTCAGTTGTTCAGAGGTCCTTTTTTAAACTAAGGCTCTTATCCAAGGCGAGATCATTTTTATCCTTTAAAAACCTGGAACGAGCAATCCATGTAGTCCTCCACTGGACTGCTGTAATTCGCTATACGTTGGTGTTGGTCAGTCCAGTCTGGCACGGCTCCAACTCGTACAAAATGCTGCAGCCCGCCTTTTGACCCGTATGAACAGACCCCAACATATTACCCCGGTGCTTGCCTCTCTTCACTGGCTTCCAGTGTGTTTTAGAATGAAATTTAAAATCTTACTTTTGACTTATAAAGTGCTAAATGGCCAAGCACCAGACTATTTGTCTGACCTTTTGCAGATTTATACACCCTCTACAGCCCAGGTCATTTGCTCCTTACCTTACACAAGTCTAGAATGGTTCATAGAGGGGGATCAGGCATTTGCAGTTGTGGTGCTGAAAATGTGGAACGATCTAACCCTCCACATTAGAAAGGCCCCAACTGTTACTCTTTTTAAATCCCATCTTAAACATATTTTTTCTCGCTGGCTTTCTATCCTGTATAAGAGTTACCAATTTTTTATTCGAATTTTCTTACCTGTTTGATGATGTTAATGTTATTGTTTAATTATTACTTTTTACAGCACTTTGGTCAACTGTCTGTTGTTATTAAATGTGCTTTATAAATAAGTGAAATAAAAATAAATAGTCATGTAAAAATGTTTTTCTCTTTTTTAGGTTAAAATCACAGCACAGTTCACACATCAAATTCTGGACCAGCTCTTGAGTACTATTTAGTGGATTTATGTTGACATTACTTTGTGTACTTTGTGGAGCCAAATTGCAAACTGGTTAGGTAAGATAAAGATTAAAAAAAGTTCTTATTTGGAGAGATCACTCTAAGCATCGAGGCTACATTTACAGTGGCCCCACCACCGCAGATTACAAGGCATTTATTGTGGATGCCGATGAACCGCGTACTTGCATGTATTTGTTTGTACTTACGGAACGAGAGCTTCTTGGATGTTGCCCCACACCTGTTTACCAGTCATCACTATCACCAGCTGGGTGGTCAGCTCAATCAGACAACCACCAGGTTCACACTGAGTGCCCACAGGTCGAGGTAGAAAAGAGATGGAAAAGAGCAAAAATTCAGGCCGAAACTCAAAAACCAGTATGATTCTATATAACGTAGATATATCTAGTACCTCTTCATTCCTCAGTTTGCTGCTTCCAAACATATAGGTATAATTTCCAGGATAGCCAACAAACTTTCCCTTAAAGAAGGCCACGTAGAAGCAGGAAGAGTAATAGTTGACAAACTGGAAGAGGAACATCTTCACTGTCAGTTTGTTCTCATACTCCACGTGGGTCTTTGGAATTTCTATAAAACAGTAAACATTTGTTTTTAATACACTTCCACATTTTATCAGTCGAAAACTTTGATGATGTGAACTGGCATGTGGACATATAGACACAGAAAACCTACTGTGGCCCCTCACCCATGTCAGTGATCTTAATAGCCACTCTCTCATACAAGAGGTTGAGGATCATGATGATAACAAAGTTGATGCAAGAGGCAGTGACAGAAGTGGCCAGCTGTGGGGTGACGTAGGGGGCAACCACGTCCAGGTTGGTGGCGGTATTGTTCTTCATGATGCTAGCAAAGGATGCGTATACCGCCAAGCGGTATGCTATGACCCCAATGATGCAGGCAATGATCAATGAGATCTTCAGGACAGAGAAAACATGAAAGCAAAATGAAAGACAACTACAACATGGCACAGGAAAATCAAAAGACAGAACTGGAGTGAGAACACCAAACGAATCATGCAGACATCTTTGCAAAGAGCGAGAGCTCGTTTCTCCACAAAGCGGGACATGTTAGTATTAAATGTCAAACTTGAAGTGTGCACACATGCCTCTTGGAAAAAAGTCAGGCCATATTCTTCTCATTAGCTCAGTGACATATTACAGGGATTTACAAACAAAAATACAACAGTAATGAGGTTTTGCCAGTATGTATAAACTTTCAATGGCTCACAGTTCAAACAAAGTGAAACTGTAACAGCCTGAGCTCCCAACTTGTCTTTAGGGCTCATTTTATACATACTAGCCTTGGTAATAACATATTAATGATTATAATGAATAGTTTCTTAGTAAGGACAAATGACATCAGTTTGATGCACAGATGGAAAGATAGAAACAGATAAATTGTACCAAAGATACTATGCTCACCCACAACAGGACGGTAGCTCCAGACAGGCATATGCGTGCACACTTGCTTGTTATGGGTAAGTAAGGCTCCATTTCCTAAATTATAAGCAAGCAAAGCACGGACACAGAGGTCAGTCACCCTTTGTTATATCCTGAAAAGGAGCTCTAAAAGGCCACGTTCCTTGAATTACCTGAACCCTCACTAGTGAAGCAGAGCTAGTAATTGTAATTGTATTAGCCTGAGTCCAATTCTTTCATTGAGTGATTTTCTGCTCTCAAAAACCTCCAACAGAATAATCCACCAGCAGACAATCAGTAAATGTGGTGGTGAAGGAAACCCGTGCCTCCGAGTCTTTCCAGAAATATCTGTTATCTACAAACTACATCACACCAAAGCCTTCTCCTCATCAAGCTGGCATTTCACGTTGAGTACCCCTCCCCCCCTTACCCAGAGGATCACGCTGGCCCAGCACAGAAACAATTTTCCCATTACATCTGTAGCAGTCCTTTCAAGAACCCACTCTGATTCCTAAAGACAAGCAGGATGTGGTCATGGCAAATTATAGAACTCTCGTAAATTCTGTGTCACAGCCGCTAATAATTTAGCTAAATAACTATGTTCTCAAAGAGTTTTGATTTAAGCCATGAAAGCGCCTCATAAATGAGTGCAACCAGTTTATAAACAACTAATACAAGGGGGTTTGAAATGTGTCATCAAGTCCTACCATTCAGGACACTTTGCCTGGCAAAACCTTGTGTGGCTTTATATTACAACAGGATTATACAGGATATTAGTGTTTCATGAGCACACAAACACCTGAGTGATGCGGTTCAGCTTGCGGTTGGTGCACTTGGTCTCATACTCTGGCCGAAGCTGCAGCTGTTGTTGCTCCTCCTCAAAGTCAACCAGATCCCACTCGTACTCCAGACGCGCCTGCCGCCTCTTCCAGAACTCCAGAAACAGCGTAACTGCAGAGACGTACCAACGTCACACAAACTTATTTCAAATTAATTGAATCAACTAAGAATATTGCCTGGCTTACAAAGGCATTCTTTTTAAAGTTTTGCTTACTGCTTTGACAACTCATTACATGTGGTGTAAAACTGCTCATTTTAGACCTAAAAATTCTGACTAAAAGTTTTTTGACACGTCCTTTAAATTCAGAAAAGTTAGCAGCTAGCAGCTATTTTCATTCATGAAGCCAGGGCAGTGAGCAATAAACAAGTCCAGACATTGACAAGTGGCATGTAACAGGAGACAAGTTCTTCCTCACTGAAAATACCCCACATGGTTTTAGCTGCTTGCTCAGGTAGAGCACACAGAAGGCAGGACATGATGACATGCATGAACTCACTGTGAAGTCTCTGGACAGTTATCTGCTTTATTCTCACGTGAGCACAGCTGCACATCACCCAGCTTTGTGTTCTCACATACAACTACACTAGCTAAAAAGTTTAGGGCTGCAGTCCAAGCATGTAAATTATTTAACAGTTATTCTGAACGACTGATAATCCCACTAGGTGGAGCACTGGACTTAAAAATGCTAAAAGCAGAGAAGCGACACATTTACTCACCCCAAATCCCCATGAATATGGCAAAAAACACAGTTGCCACATTGTCAAATAGGTGTGATTGCTGAAAGAGAACATGTTAAAGAAAAAGTGAGGTAACTGAGAACTGATTTGATGACATTAAGCTGCATTCGCTCTTTAAATGTCACGTATTGTGGGTAGAGATGAATCATGATAAGTACAACAATTACTCACCCACGAGGAGTTGCATGTTATGTTGAGTCTCCAGTAGGTACACTTTTGGTCGCAAAGGGGACACATGACAATATTGCCTCCGATTTCCTCACTACATATTTCTTTACTGTAGAGGAAACAAAGGATATTTTAAATGAAAGAGATGATTATATTATTAACATAAAAAAACGAATGATGTCATTGAATTTGTCTGATGATAAAAACTCACCTCCATTCATTGTCATCGTATGTCAGGAATCCATAAACGAAACAAATTGTCCCAACTACAGCAGCGAAGAACAGCATCTCAGTGTAGAAACCCAGCCACGCAAAGTAAATACCTATCTTTTCTCCATAATATTTCCTGTTGAAAGTTGAAAAACAGTAATTATTGCATTCATTCTGATGTCAGATTGGATAATGAGTATTTCTGCTTAGTGTGTATCCAAAGAAAACACCGTTTTTGAAAAAAACTCATTGAACAAATGATAAAACAAATGATGTTAATCTGTAGAAAAAAATTGAAAACGTACTGAAAGATAAGAAATATTTAAAAAAGGTTTGGAGACCCTTTTAACTTTGTAAACAACCAATCAAACAGAAAGCTGGTCTCATTTTATCCTCATGCTTATTTTAACCCACGTAGTGTTTAATGTTTCTGTGCAGCTTTTATGGATTTTGAATGAACAAAATTCCCAACACCTGCACTCTTTTTAAAAAGAAACAAGAGTTGTTTGGCTGTGCATTAAATTATCAATAATAGGCACATTTTTTGCTTGCTTCCTTTTTGTTTGTGTATTCCCTTCTTTACTGTGAATTAATTTTTTGAACATATTAAACCAGATATTTTAAGAAAGCAAAGACAAGTACTTTGTGTTGAGGGCTTACCTCACAAGATTGAGGGGCTGCTCCTTGAAGAAACAAAAAAATTTGGCCCAGTATTTGTAGAGACTGAATCTTTCACTTTCGCAGTTGGGATCCTTTGACTTTGTCCAGTACCTTGACTGAAGACACACAGAAGACACAGATCACTGTCATTCATTGTATGAATAGATATTACTATTCAAGAACAATAGGCGTATATTCCACTAAAAAATGATTAAGAAATGTCTAAACTGGAGTAGAAAAAACTCACATCATGCAGAGGAAAGGCAGCAGTGTAGGTCCCATTGTTGAGCAACCTCTTGATTCCCTTCTTGTCTCTATCCCCACATTCATCCTTAAAGTATGGACAGCGTGCCAGGATATAGTAGACCTGTTCATGAAGACAGAAACAAAATAAATTGGTCTTATAAAACATAACCTTCTATGCTGGAAGGTTAGTTACTTAAATAACTCTGTTGTAAAAATGTTATTGTTGCATTTTTGAACCTAATTCAGTTCTGAATGCCAGCGTAATTTTAGAACTTCAAGGTGATAAACAAGATAAGCGTGCTTACGATCCTGTTGCGAGTAGAAGGAGGGAAGAACGTCTCTTTGTCTTCGATAAGGAAGAAGTCAGACTTGCTCTTGTTGAATGGAGCTGTGAAATAGTCTGGCTCAGGGTTCATGATGTGCCCCGGCAGACGGAAAGGCGTCGACAGCCAGTTCATGGGGATCTCGCTGTTGTCTGGGATATCGTTGACCTTGAAAGGAACCTTGATTTTCAGCACGTCTGCGTATGTGGCCAGTACTTCCCACGGAGCATGGATCTTGACAAAATAAGTCTTTCCATCCTCTGACTCCTGATAATAATGACAGTAAGTAATATTAGCACTGTGTTTGTGGTGTATAGAAATGTATATTACAGTATAATGAGTGTAAAAAAAAAAGAAAAAAAAAGGACATCGCTGAAAAGTGACAGGTTTTATATCTATAGCTCTTAGTTTGTTCACTAAATAGCATTAAGGTCTTATGACATATTGTGAGTGATCAAAAAGCAAAACAATCTGGGAGTCTGCCCAAAAAAAAAAAACAACTTTTGTTGTAGAGATCATCTTTTCGTCTAAATGGTTTTCAGTGCAAGTGTGTATTTTTAGATCACTCCGTACAAGTCCCCTCAAACTTATCCCTTTAAAGTCATTCTGCCTCTTTTGTAGCGTGTGAACTTGATTCTCATTTTCAAAAAGTGGATGAGATTGCAGTGAACCAAATGTGGGGAGCAGCCGACATTTTAAGTGAAAAAACTCAGCGTGAACTTAGCACACACTGGTACACACCACACTTCAGGTGGTTTCCTTGAATGCTGTCCCTGATAGTATGTCCATAATCGCACTCTCTGGACAAACTCAAGGTTCAAAGCCCCCTGAATGATGAGCAAATACCTGATCCTACTTTTCCCCTAATATGCTGCTTTCAAGCTTGTAAGCTTGTAAGCTTTGGACATCTTGATTGAAAACAGCTGGTTATAGACAGAGACCCAGCTCTCACAGTTTATAACCGTCTACAATAAATTTGGGTGTATTTGATGCACAAGTTTATGTCTGTCCTCTGTGCATGTTTATCGTAGCCTGCACAGTGCAGTTGGTCATAATGGGACTTCCAGTGAGCCATGCTGGACGGAGTTTGGACAGGACAAAGAGATAATCTTGAACAGGAAATGGCCATATTTACATCAGGTGAAGTTATTGATTTTTATGGACGCGTGGACAGAGCTTTTTGATCACACCGTGAACAACACACAATTGGATTGTGTTTATCAGCACATTCGCCGTATAAGCAAAAGATCCCTGGAAGAATCCCTGGAGCAGACACAAATCCCCTTTGGGTTGTGCAAGGTGTACACACTCTGACAACTCATTAATGCGGAGCTACCCACTGTGGTGACCCCTTGTGAATAAGAGCGCAGGCGAAAGTAGGTAGCTTACAGTTTTATCTTCTGTCTCCAGCTCCAGGCCGACTTTCTGTAAGTTGGATTCATACACCCTCCTCCTTTCCTAAAGCAGTAGAAGAAGAAAACGGCAATACACATGGACAAAATATTACCACAAAGCCAGTGTAGGGAATATTTGTACACTATTAGAAGTAATGATAAAATATGTCCTCATCTACATAACAAGTGAAATAACAAAAGCCGAATAATTTAAGTATGTTGAGCCAAAAGCAAAATGTAAGCAGAAAATAATACATTATAAAATAATAATGAGAGAAATCGGCTCATATGTGCAACATTAAGAGGAAAATCATGGAAACATGGTAAGTAAAAAAGACACAAGTGCTACAAAACAGCTACAAAAGTGATATATAAACCATGGTGGACACGGAAGTATCAGTTACCAGAAAGAACAGGTAGTGAAAATAAGCTAACAGTAACATGACAAAAGCTTTCACGGTATATGACACTTAGGTTTAATGTATCAGAAATTCTCTTGTAGAAAATAACTATCTGAATCACTGCAGAAAAAACTGACAAAAATTGAATAAATAAATCCACCTTGTTAGAGCTGAATTTTAGAGTCACTTTTAACAATGCATGTGGATAACACACAGGAACTGGCCTCCGGTTTACCCTTCCTCATACAGTGGAAAAAATGAGTGGTTTCCTGACCAGGCAGGAGGGTTAACTGTTGACTCACCGACTGAGGCCGTAAGCAAAACTGGGAGTCAGCTGTGGAGTGTTGACACTCACACGTAAAGCTAGCAGCTCAGTGTGAATCAATGAAAGCCTTTCAGCACTCAACAGGTGACAAAGCAGAGTTATTATATCTTTGAATTTTTAATTTCTTTTTATTTGTACATCATTAATTCAGTTTAGTTTCAGTTAGCCTGCACAGTGGGCCTGCTCTTTTCAATTTAGTTTTTAGTGCAGGAAATGTTTTAATATTTATGAATTTCAGTGTTAGCTTTGGTTTTACATTAAAAACATTATTGTATTTGACAGATGCAAGATATATGAAAAAGTGTTAAAAAAATAAATGTGACACCCCAGTCTCAATAACCCTATGAAGCAACACTGCCTCAGACTAGTTATGCTGACAAATTTCAACTACACGGACTAAAAAAATAAATGTAAAGATATTTCCTGCATATTTTTTTTTTGTTAAGATGTTTTGCAGGTAAATATTTATTTTGATTTCAGTTTTAGTTAACTATAATAATCCTGGAGACAAAACCAATTAAATTAAATACAGTTTTATTTACACCAAAATACAACAAAAGTTGCCTCAAAGCACTTTATATTGTAAGAAGTAGGAAGGAAGTGGGAAGGAAGAACTCCCTTTTAACAGGAAGAAACCTCCAGCAGAACCTGGGTCAGAGAGAGGCTGCCATTTAACTGGACTGGCTATCGGTGAGGGAAGAGAGACAGGCCACAGACAAAAACCACAAAATAAATAAATAAAACAGGCCACTAACCATATGGACTTACTTTAAAAACAAATTATTTTTATAAAAAAAAAAAAAAAAAAGACTTGAGAATGGATTTACATGTCAAAGTCACCTTATTAGAAAATACCTTGACAGGATTATTAACAGCTGACAGCAAAAGTCTTCCTAGCTTTGTCTGTTTTGTGGTATTTATGGTATGCTGTGGAGTCACAGGAACCCACAGGATGTCCTGTATGAGCCACCTCGGACTGTTAAAATCTAACAGTGGAAATAACGTCAACATTTAAACTGCGCTAAGATATATTGAGTGCAATTGTATGGGACTCTTTTCAGTTGTACATACAACTGTAACAGCATTGTATACGCAAAACATGAAAAAAGAAGCTAGTCCAGTTAGTGATAACTGAAAAAAAAATGTGATTGAAAATGTCTTACCTGTTTCCTTTGATCATCTTTATCGTCAATATAGGACAGAACAAAATCGATCCTGCGCACTCCATCACGGAAGAACACGGAGTCCTTACTGTATTTTTGCTTGTCAATCTAGAACGAGACAACACAAAGGAGGTGAGATTTTAAACACACATAAATAGACAGGGACTGATATTTTGCAGTCACCACAGCAGACCAGAAAGTCAAGCTTTGCATCTAGTAGCTAATGCAAAAAAGGCAAAATACTGATAATTATCACTCAAAACACAAACAACATGCCAAATGGAGGGTAGCTTCTTTGATGTTTATTGTTTGTTGTCTGTTTTTAAGTCATACTGAACAAGACGATAAACCTGTTATATCATAGGGCAAAACTAAAACAGATATCGAAGATCAAAACTAGCCACACTGACTTAAGGCTCCAACATTGCTGCAATTTAATAATCTGTTTTTCTGTAATCAGCACTGACCTCCAAAGAAATTCCAAGTATGTGTATCAGCCCCACAGAGGCAGTTGCTTAGCAAGCTACAAAAACTGGACCGCAAAGGAGTGCTTAAGGAGAGGACCCATGACTGGTTGCTGCTTCAGCTGTTCAGAAAGCTAAAAATAACTATGTACAGTGTGTTTCTCTCTGCCACATTACAGCAGCAGTAGGACTACAGGCAATACACAGAACCATTAACTAAGCAAAATAAAAACTGTAATATCCATTTCAGGCACATATTTGGCTAGTGTCTTTGCCCCGTCCCATCACGGCAACACTCTGGAGGAAGGGAGGAAAGGAAGTGCACTTTACCTTCATGGTCCACTCCCTTTACCGTTACGATGCAGCAGCAAACAGGCCAGCTGCCTGATAGAGCTAAACTGCTTTACTCCTGGGAGTAGAGTCCAGGCCAGCAAGCACTGCCTTTCTGACCCTCACTCCACTGATCCCCATCCAAACGGGAGCCAACCAGTCCACTCACCTCCCAGGACAATCCCTCACTTCTTGCTCAGTCATCCATAAAAGCAAGAGGAGGGATACTGGGAGAGAAACACAGCACAGTCCTAGAGATGACATCAGCAGAGGGGTAGCATAGCTGCCGCCAGCTAGCTAATCTAATCAGAGCACAGCATCAGGAAAGGGGGGAGGTAATGTGACTGAACTGTATATCTGTCCCTCAAATTACATCATCTCAAGTTTTCTTGGTGCAAAAGTCAAACAGTTACATGAAGAAATCTTTTCTACAAAGGGTGATAAGGGGGAGATAAAGAAAACCAAAACTGGTAGCTACTGTGTAGCCTTGGGTCAACAGCCTCAGACAACTTGCACAATTCAGCTACAAAAATATACTTTAAATGCTACAGCTCCACAGCTGTATCTACCACCCTGTCTAGCCACTGAACTACGTGTTCAACGTGTACAGCTTGTCGTTTCCAACAACGTCACAGTCTCTTATTCCAAATTATGCATACGTTCAAACTGCTGGTCTACACTGCCTCCCAGCCTGGACTGGAACGTGCTGACCAATGCAGGGTGGTACTTTCTGTAACTGGGATGTTGCTACAGAAACTCTCTAATTTACAGTAATTACAGATCAGCCATATGGAATCGGCGCATCAGCTGGGACGTGCCACTGCTCAGAGCCACAGACTTCTATACATTTATGAACTAACCCCTAACTACTGGGCGTTTCGACGTGTCCCTTTTATCTTAATGGTGAAGGGTAAATGTAGAATATGGTGTAACACAAGAAGTCTTCCAATTTCAGGGGGTAGAAAAGTAAGTGGAAATTTTCAACTTACTTTCAAGGTACTATTTTTTTTGTGGAGGGATAATTTTAACCATGAATTCTTATTTTCAGGTCACTTAATTAGTTTGGAATACACAGGAGTTGCTGAACACACTTTAGTTGATATTGAAACGTAATTGTGTTATTTTTACTTTTTATTTCTTTATTAAGTTATTTAAAACATTAAGAGGAAGTAGGAGACCAGCAGAGAATGTTACTCCTATGCTGTCCAAACCAAAGTATGTTTTAGGTTATGGTGTATATCAACTTCAGTGATGACTCATCTGACAAAGAACACGCCCCCGTCTATCCTCAGTCTGTGTTTTTAATCCACCTTCTCTAATGCACTTTGATTTTAGTACCACTCAATCTAACATCCAGGCGGTGTATTAGCTATATTGTTTAAAGTACTTTAGGTGCCCCTTTTTTCACAGGAGAATGTAGATGGTGACTGCTGTATCACTGCAATGGCTTCTCTGCTTGCAATAAAGCATCGCAATCGGCATGTTTGTTCTGAAACGTGCACTTTTGTGCAGAGCTAGATGTCCAGCTGGATCTCCAGATTTGCAGAAAATTACATCTGGTTTAGCGGCATAATACAAGTATGCACATAAACCAAACCTCTTGAAGAGTTACATGTAGTTTAAACCGTGTTGTCTGCAGTGAAACAAGATTTCTATCCCTGTAATGACTACAGAGCCAGTTTATACATGTGCTGCCTTTAAAACTCCTTGATGTGACCTTATGCTCAGCTAAATTGTAGTCCTAGAATGTAATGTTCTTTTTTACCCTGCAGATTGGCTGCTCTGAATAAAAGGTCACACTTTTCATTAACATGGGTTGCACAGTGTTTAAACAAGGCCATATTGAAGAGGATTCAAAGGCAGAAGCCTTCAGTACAGTATATGGTTAGCCACACCACAGTGCAGTCCTGTCATGAGCAAAGGGTAGGGCCATGATTACAGCATATACAGTTCTGTACCACACACACACACACACACACACACACACACACAAAAGAGTTAGGCAGGTGGAAATCTGCATGTGCAGCTTCTATTATGCTGTGGCACATGGTTGGGTTGTTGCTCTCTTAGTGAGGCCAACAATAATCACAGGTGAGAACAAAGCAAGAGAAAAGGCCTTTTTCACCTTTAATGAACTCTCACGATACATCAACACGCACAACAGCATGTTTCCATTTCTCGCAGCAGGCAAAACAAAACATGCCTTCAAAAAGCCAACATCAGCTCTCTACCAAGAAATGCTTATTGATTTCTCCGATGTCCAGGTTTAATAGCCTGAATGTCCAATACTGCTAGAGAAACTCGACCATGAGCATACACTCTGAGCAGCAGGTAGGAGATAATGGGTGGCTGGTAGTCACACATATAGCGTACATTTCTGCATCATAACACAAGCTTGTTTTACCATGCCATACCCTGGAACGAAACGTCAGGAATAGGGCCCGTTTTCTCGAAAACTGTGGAGGAACCGAGTGCACAGTGAGAGAAAGCCTGACAAAACGATTCAAAACAAAATTCAACAGCATACCGCTAAAACAGAAGCGGCACCCTTTTAGAGGGGAACAGGCACTTCACGCTTACATTACATCTACATACATTTACAGATTATGTCCAAAAACACTTCATACATGAAGATTCAGGCACAATCACAGTCAGTTAGATGTTTGAGGCTCAGAGATATGAGACACGACAGAGACATGAAGACACAGACACAAGCAACAGCGACCTGTGCCCCTGACTGGTGTCTTACCCCAGTTAAAGCATTGATTTGCTCTATGGTCTGAGGCGCAAACTGTGGACTGTCGCTGTGGTCAGAGGGAGCCAGCGAGGCCAGGCTGTTGTTGAGAGACTCACAGCTCTCTACACGCACATCGGGCGTTAAAGCAAACTTTAATTAGAGTATGAAAGAGGAGAATACATGAGTATTAGAGTTATACCTAACTCTCTTCTGCCATTTGTATGTTGTGAAACAACAGCATGAATGGACTGAAAAGATAGAAGTAAACTCAGTACAGTTATCTGTAGTATTATACACGCAAAATAAACTGCTTTGATGGGTAGGTAAAAAAAAAAAAAGAAGTGGATAAAGAGCAGGAAGGAAATCTTGATTAATCTTTGTAATTATACACAATATGCTTCCTGCAACCACGATTATAGGCAGGGAGCTGAATGTGAAGCTTGGACCTTCTGCTCCATAAATCTGCCTGCAAAAGGCTTTTTTTCCATAACTTTAAATAGAAGGTACTGCAAAACAACTAAAGCACCTACAATCATAAAAATGCAAAAAATAAGGTACCAATAATAACAATAAAAAATCCTACTTAGAATTGTTGTGAAAAGACTGTCAGTGATGGAGTTCTTGCTTTGTAGAATTGTCTGTGTGACTGAGGGCATGCTGTGAGTTTGGTTTTTACCTCCGATCGTCCCTGCTCCGGTGAACCTGTGCTGGATGATGCATGATGGTGATAGCCATTTACATCATCTGCAAGACAAAAAGATAAAACACAACATTAAAAACACAGTTAGCAGTTAAGAGACGGCTCTCTTACCAGTGTAAAAGAATAATAAGAATCAACAAAAAAAAAAGTTATCTCAGACAGCCAGGATAATGCAGAAACAACTGCCTGAATAATGACTTTGGCCCATGTTGTGGTCTATATGTTTACAGCATTTTGTGGTCTTGTGAGGCAAACAGGGTGACTTGACAGTGAATGACGCTACTGAGATGAATATGCACCCATTTCAGAAGTGACTGCAGGAAACATGCCCGAAAAGTCTGGAAAGCCCCCCTACAAGTCTTTTTTTTTTTTTAATGAACGTTGGCTACACAATAAAACTGAAACTGAGTTGTACTTTACCTACTGCTCACTGCTTGGCATGTAATTACAACTTTCCAGATCATTCTGAGAAAAGAGTTACATAAACAAATGGAAAGACAGATGAAAAAGCAAGACAAACATGGAGCCCTGCTTGCACCACTACAGCTAAAAAAATATAAAGCGAAAGGTCTCGGGCTCTGTGTCTGTGTTTTAAAATAGAAAATGTTCTAATTGATAGTTTCTCTCTCTCTCCGGTTATATTTAGTCTGGGTTCAGCACAGGAAGAGTGTCTACACAGACCTTTGTCTACATTATTAAACGCCAAGTTAACAAAGTAAAACTTGGTGGTGCAAAACTGAAATTACAAACATTTATTATAAAAGACACACTTCAAAAGTGAAATACAAACTAATTTCTCAGCTTCTGAACAACAGCTTTAAAGCCTTTCAGCTTCTCACAAAGAGAGAAGATAGCAAGTGACTTTCATTTGGATAGATTTCTTTTGCAACATATGACAACGCCTCTCAAACAGCTGAGAATATTCTTTGCACAGTTGGGCGCAAGAATGTGTGCAATATTAGCCAGTTCATTCATGCCAAGAGTCGTTTCCCACTAAATATCCTCTACAGTTGAGGCTTTGTTCAAGTGTGAGCAGCTGATCAGTGGAAATGCCACAAGGCTGCTTCCCTCCCTCTTTCTCGCTCTGTTAGCCGCACAACCATAAAGGCTCATGGGGTCAAAAACTGTATACGTTGATTATTTACACGAAAGCTACTTTGCAACACAGCGCATGCTGACAATAAATGGCAAATGAACTGCAACATCGGCGACAAATATGGTCAGGCAACAACTCCAGCCAATTCAATTTTACACCAAGCCCAAGTGTCACAACAAAAAGCCAAAACTGTAAACAACTTTCATTTGACTGATCTAGCTTCTTAGAACTGGTATAGCTGAACTCAGGTGGAGGCCATATTTTAAAGCTGTTTTTCTAGACTAAATGAACAGTTTTAGACTCAACTCAAACTGCTACATTTTGCCCATAGTGAAAGTAGATGAGTTTGTTTGGTTTCCTCACACGCACAGGAAACCAGTAGTCACCTGCCATGTTGCAGAGGGGTTGGTTTCAGATGCACACATACACCTACTTTACAAAACGTAGCTCACATCTTAAGACAATGCCGCTACAAAGCAGTAACGCATGTTCGTGTGAAACCCACAATCATGAACAGCTCTGTGATTTTTACATACAAACTATAAAAGACACAATCTGTACTTCTATATTGTAATAACCAAGTCATCTGTGACTACTGTGAGATATGTTTTGCTTCTGTTAAGACGTTATCTCAACAAACCATAAGCACACAACACCAAACTGACAGAGGATGGCCCTGTGGTTATCACTTTCATTTCAGACTGTTTGAATGACACACTTCATTTTAATATTGTTGATAAGGTTTTCTGCATTCAGGATGATTCACCTTTTAATCATCAACACACTTTTTTTTTTTTAAATATATCCCTAAATGGCAAAAAATTTAAGTAAATAAAATCCGTGTCCGGCCACTGGTTTAAAATTTACATAGGCGGGGAACAGAGATGGATTTGGGGGTTGTTGCTGGTGGATAACGTGGTTGTCTGTAAGTGACACAGTATTTCCAGTGAGCAGGCCAGCTGCCAGAGCCCAGCTGCACATAAGTCACTGTGACTTCCATTATGAGAAAGGCAGACTGTGAGCTGGCTGGAGCCTTAAAGGGGAAATAACCAGGGTGGAAACGCTTTACAACAGTGAAGCAACGGCTACATAATTAAGTTTTAATATACCCTCTGTATAACTGACGGTGAGAGAGCTAACCAAAGAACAATTGTATTTGTCAGCTGACATAAAGGTTACTTAAAAATGCTGGAAAAACCCATTCTGGAAAGTTTCATTTATATTGTTAAAATATTAAAGGTCTCATATTATAGCTGTAGTTCAATTTTAGCAAGCTTGTGAAAGTCTGGCGTACAGACTTGAGAATACTTAGCTCACTCCAGTAACTTCTCGGCAGGCTGAAAATCTCTCAGCTACATTTTAAACGTTTTTTTACATGGCCGACCAGCGCTGGCTCTCAGCTACTTACCGCTGAAAGAGTCTGTCGGACTCATCTCAATTAAGCTGTCTTCTCCCGTTTTCCCCGTTAATCTGTGCATCTTGAGACACTCGCGAAGCCAAGCCGTTCTAATCCGCTCTGGTCTGGACTAATATATTCCGAGCCAGGCGTGTTATGTCTCGCCCGAACCGCTCCGCTTCACAGTCGATCCCCCTTCGGGAAGCCAAACGGCTGACTCACTCGCCAGGATGCCCTCCTTCACCCACTGACCGCTCACTGGCGCATCACCACAGCCTCAAGGGAGGCCCATGAGGGAAGTGCCTCCACGCTACTAGCCAATAGTCTTCGCCCGACGGTGAACAGACACTGCACCCAAGTGTCCACGTGCTATGTACACTGAACTAATTCAAGAAGATAGTCCAGGTGACAATATTACGCTTACCGTAGATAAAACAAAGAAACAAACTAATGGTAATTTAACACATTTACATTCAGTTTTTGTGTTAATAGCCTGAATCTTTCCATTGTTCTTGGTAGATAGTGTTAGATTGAATTGTATGTATTTGTTAAACGTATCTCTGTGTATTTAACCTGAACTTTGCGCAATATGACCTTAACTGGTTTCTTTGTATTTTTCTAATAAAATCATTTGCACTTGTTTGTTTGTTCATGCTATTTCCCCCCAAACATGGGACCCATGTCAAAATTGCTAAAAGTTGTTGGTAAATTTAATTTTTCCAGGACTGAGCAGCAAAAGCGTGTAACTCTGTGGAAGCACCTATTTTGACTGTATGGAAAATAGTTACATAATATTATTAACCTGGTTGTTTTATTAGATATATTATGTAATTCAGTTCAGTTTTATTTATATAGTGTCAAGTCACACGGAGAGTTACCTACAGGCACTTTATGCTGCAAGGTAGATCAACAATCATCAATCATAGAAACCCCTGTGATCAACCATTTTAGCGGCAATAGGAAGTAAAAAACTCCCATTTAAGGGGAAGAAACATCCAGCAAAATCAGGCTCAGGGAGGGGCAGCCAAATAAGGGAGGAGTCACCTGATCCAGCCCTAAATATAAGCTTCCTTAAAATGAAAAGTTTTAAGTCTGATCTTAAAAGTAGAAATGGTTTCTGTTCCCTAAATACAAACTGGGAGCTGTCTCCACAGAAGAGAGACCTAAAAGCTGAAGGCTCTGACTCCCATTCTATTTTTAAATATTCTAGGAACCAAATGTAAACCAGCAATCTGAGAGCAAAGTGCTCTATTGTGGTGGTATGGTACAAGGAGGTTCTTAAGATAAGATGGGACCCAATTTTTCAAGACCTTGTATGTATATGCAGTGCAGAATTATGTTTATGTTTCTCAAAGTCTCTAAAATGTGTATCAACTATTAAAAGCCAGTCAGTAATTAAAATTTACAAGGAAATGTTTATCTGGAGAAGTCTGTGCTTGTTTTCTTTTATACACTATTTCTATGTTTAAATGATATGTACGATTCTTTGATGCATTTTAAATTTTTAGAAGTTTCCATACTATGCTGGTCGCTTTCTCAGCTTTTATAATAAACAGATGATTAAAAAAACAACAACAAATAGCTGGGACATTTTACTTATGATCTCTTTTTAAATTTGAGCCAGCTACAAGTCTCAAAAAGTTAAGTTGTACCCGGAGCAATGTTCCCTCTAATTTTTCATGTGTCTGAGCAAGCACACAAACTCCCTGAGCGATCCCTGGGACCACTGTGAGCGACATCAGACGTGTGCACTGTGGCGATGCCAGCATCGAATCCATCCAAGTTACATGGTTTATTAAAATCAAATCAAATTACAGCATTTACATTTATGTTAGACTACCTTTAATTAACTATTGGAAGTAAAAATAACTTAAACTCCAATTTCGAAAACACAACTTTCTTTTTTTTTTCTTTTTATAAAGCTCTGACTTGTATCATGAGTATGAGTCTGTGGTCTGGGAGAGAGTCCTGTAACTCTCTGTCTGCAAAATACAGTATATAATGACCAATGTTGGGCAATTAATTATATTGTTACTTCTTCAAAAAAAAGTAACTGAGTTTAGCAAACAACGTTTTTTGCAGCTATTTCTTAAATGCAGCCAAGGCGTTTTTAACTAAACATTTCAAACTATTTCCTGTTCTGCATCAAATTTGATGCCACACAAATTATTTGTGCCACTCCAACAAATAATTTCTGTCCACTATGGGATAAAGGAGAACAACAGCCTGATACCTGCAGGCCTGACAACAGGAGATGTATCACTGCTGTAACACCTGTAACATTCAGCAGTCACCTCATTGTTCTGACACACACAACAAAACTACACTACACACTAACTACACAAGATTTGCGCTAAACGTCTCAAATCTCTCACATCTCAAAACACTGCCGTCACTCCTAAAGCTTCCCCCGTTTCTTAACAACTAGATGCCAGGTTGCCATATCATTTTTTGATTGGTCGACATGGTACTTTTTTGGACGAATAGGAAAGGGGCAGCGGGGGAGAGGGGGCGGGGTTGTTTTTGCTCACAG